ACACTATAAACTATATAAATAAACAGTAACTCTTTTTGAATTAGTAAATACTCTAAATATATTTCAGAAATATATTAACTGAGTTTTATAAAATCTATTTAATAAGATTACTTCTGTGTATATAAATAATATTCTGATCTTTACTGATAAATTGCTCACTGAGTACTGTAAGTATATATAATAAATATTTAACTATTTACAAGAAACAGAACTATAAATGAATATTGATAAATATAACTTTAAAACTAAATCTACCATTTATTTAGAGTTTATTATTAAAGCTGAAAGAGATGTATATATAAATTTCAAAAAAATAAAAGTAATTTTTAATTGAAAGATATTAGTTTTAGTAAAAGAGAATAGAAGCTTTCTAAAATTTATCAATTTCTACTAAAGATTTATCAAGAACTTCTCTGATATTATATAATCACTAATAAATTTAATCTGAAAAGATACTGTATTTTAATAAATCAATAAAATGAATGCAGTATTCAAGAAGCTGAAGTATATATTCATAAATACTCTGATACTGCAATTATTTAACTCAGATAAATATATAATTTTTGAAATAGATATTTCAGATTATATAATAGATGAAGTACTGATATAATATAATAATAAAGATATTCTACAACTCTATATCTTCATTTCAAAGAAAATATTATCTACTGAATACAACTATAAAATTTATAATAAAAAACTTTTAGTGATTATATAATATCTTGAAGAATGAGAATCTGAACTTATAAATATTAAGAAATTTGAAATTATTATTGATTATAAAAATCTGAAGTAATTCACAATCATTTATAAACTCACTGAAAAATATATATATTGATTATTATTTCTCAGCTGTTTTTTATTCACAATCTATTACTAATTAAAAGTAGAGAATACTTTTGTAAATACTCTGTTCTATCAAAAATAAAATATATTATTTAATAATCTGAATAACAGATGAAAACATTGAGAGTATTGATTAATTAACTCTGTGATTATAAAAAGTCTTATATAATTAGATGAATTTTATATATATATTAATCAGTTCTGAACTCAAGATTTTTTATTTAAAGAGTAATAAAGATAAATAGTAGAAGTGAATAAACTCTGATAACAGACTGCTGAAGCTGTATAAAGTAAAGTATTTCAATTCTCTGTAGATATATATTCAAAAACAGATATCTCAGTATATTTAATTGACAATAACAATTGTTTATATTTTTAAAATAGATAATAAATCTCTGATTCAGAATCTCTACAAATACAGATTATATAAAAAATTTATAATTTATTAATAATTAAGTATTTAAAATATAAAATTATATACAATATTATTGTCTGAGAATTCTACTGACTGAATATATCAAAGAATATATATTAATTCATATACAATTGTGATCACTGCAGTTCAGTGACAGTATAATATAAGTATTAAAAAAAATACTGAAGTCTTTATCTATTTTCAAATAAATTTAATATAATATAGCTATCAATTTTGCAGTTTTCTTATCTGAAAATAGAGATTTTATAAATATTTTAATTATTATTGATTGATTTAGTAAAAGTGTAATACTGCAATTCTGTAATAAGATAAATACTAAAGTTATTATAAATATCTTTATCAGAAGTTTATTCTATTATATACACAGTCTGTTTTCATTCATTATATCAAATAGAGATAGTCAGTTTATAAGTATACTTTGAACTTATATATATCAGCTACTGAGAATTGAGTGAAAGTTGTTGACAGTATATTACTCAGAGACTGATGAAGCTACTAAGAGAATAATATAAATAATTAAAAATATTCTCTGAAAATTCTATAATTATATATAAAATGACTGAAATAATCTGCTACTGTATACTGAAATTACTATAAACAGCTGAGATTCTGTTATAATAAATATAAATCTATTTTTTTTCTATACAGTTATAATTTAGAAATTCTGAACTTTTCTAAAATTCTCTGAAAGATTATATATATCTACAGTTCTGTATAAATGATAGAAAATATAATCAGTAAATTTAAAAAAATCTGTAAATAAACTGAAACTTTAATAACTAGTACTCAATAAAACTATAAAAATTAAATAAATATTAAAAGAAGTTCTATAATTCAATACAATATAGAAGATAAAATTTGATTAAATCTTAGAAATATAAAAACAAACTGCTTCTTATATATACTAAATTATTATTATATTAAATATATAATAATAGAAGTATTAGATATTTATAACTATTGACTGAATACTTTATCTGATATTTATAATATTTTTTATATAAATCTATTTCAATCTACAGCTGAGAATCTATTTCTTTTATAAAAAATTTTCAACTGATAATTATCTATTATTATAGAAAAAGATAATAAACTTAAATAGAAAATTGAAGTAATTTTCAGTAATAAAATCAATTATTGCTGCTGTAAATATTTTATTAAATAAATAAAATATAATTATTCAATCTAAAAATTTATATTCACTATAAAGAATACTGCTGTATTTGATATCTATAAATTCTTATTTATTTCAGTAAAAAAAGATAATATAATGAGTTAGTATTTATTAATAGTTAATTTATACAATCAATCCTCTATTATATACTCATATACTTATATATACTTATGAAGTTTTCTTATATCTTTTTATAATTTCATTCTATAATTATATATATTTTAATATTCTAACAATTTTTCTACTCTGTACTTTTTCAGAGTATAATTTCTGATATTTCTTTTACTTCAATTCTTTTATTTATAAAAATTCTTTTATACAATCTCTTCTTCTGATCTTCTTTCTCTTTCTTTTTTTAATTGATTTATAAACTGTTATTAGAATAGTATCAAGTTTGTTGATAATACTATTGAAATGAATTATATGAACTATACAGATAATATAAATAATTTAATCTGTAATATTAATAATATCTGCTTAATCAGTGGCACATCTGTTACAGAAGAAAATGAAGATAATAAAGATGATAATATATATACTGCTATCAATTGCTTACAGAGTGTAATGAGATCTGTTGCTGCTATTATCATCATATTATTAGAGTTTAATATAGAAATCAGTATAAAACTAAATATATCATCTTCAGATTTCTTATATTCTAATATCTTATCAGTATCATATACTGAGTCAGAGATTGTTATATCTTTCTCTATTATTGTATATTCAGTTTGATCACTCTTTACTTCTGAAATGAATTCTTATTTAGTAATAGAGAGAATGAACTGAGAAATCTTTGATTGCAAATATAGTGTTTTCTTATATTCTGATATAAAAATCACAGATAATCAAGAACCACTTATAATTGATTTTAGAGAATTCAGAATGAAAATAAATAAATAAGTTTTTAATCTCTTCAAGATAGTAATGAAATCTCTACAGCAGTCTCAACAGTAATTTCATCAATTACACTACTTTTATAGATAAAGAGCTCTCTTTTTAAAGAAATAATATCTAACTCATTCAATATAACATCAGTTGCAGCATATTCTAATCAAAACACATCATTTTTCTTAAAAATCTGCTATCCAGGCCATAACCTGTGGGATGGTTGATCTTGTTATTGTTGTGGTCGCTAGCTAACTATATAGGGGTAATCACGTGCGGTGGAGGGCCACCTGGGCAACTAGTGCCCAACAAAAGGTGCGTCGTGGCACGTGACTCGGCACCCTGGTATTATCCTACGGTCGACATCTCTGCCTGATGAAGCAAAGCTGCTAATCCTTTACGAGTCATTTAACAGTCATGCGTGGGTGTGAACTGGTGTGAAATGTCTCTAAATATGTACTGTACATCTGATATTTATAAGCTTCAACAAGCTGTCAGCATGCTCACCGGTGCCTAGCAAAACCATCCTTTGTGAGCGACCGGGTTATCAAAGAATATTTACACATCAAGATGGAGACCCTATCTGTCGAGATAGTCATAAAGATACTTGAAAATCTCTCAAAAGAAACCCTGAAGGTCGTTCGATTGACTTCGAAAGAGCTGAGTGCTCTGGCTTCGCCGCTCCTCTTCAACAGAGTATATGCTTCGTCCCATCTTCATGACCTGGAAGTGCTCTCTTCAATCTCTCGACACCCAGTCCTAAGCCTCCACGTTCGGGAAATTGTGTTTTGTGGAATGTTCTTCCATTCCTCCGGCATAAAAACAAACAACAAATCGATTCCGGAAGATGATTTGGAGAACGGCCGTCAATACTATAAAAGCCGCCTTGACGAGCAAAATGAAACTCTGTCTAGTAAAGAGGATCTCGTGATTATCTCCACGGCTCTTGCAAGGATGCCTAATATCCAAATGGTTGTGCTCACAAACCACTGGCTTCCTACAAGAGATCTTTTGAATCATTGCGATTACGAAACTAGGGTTTATGGGCCGGAGGGTCAATACGGGGAGGGTCCATACGGGGATGCGAGATCCGGTGGACCATTATCTCGTTGTTACCCTCGTTTTGCTGAGAAGCCTGATGGATGGCAACAGTTTATCCCGGGAAAAATTAGCAAGTACATACGCATCGACCACGGTTTTACGGTTATGTGTCAAGCGCTGTCTATCGCCCAGGTACCAGTCCAAATGCTCTCGATCGATTATTCTGATCCAGTGATGATGGATACGGCTGCGATACCAGGCATTTATGTTGGCTCGTTCTGTGTAACATTACGCATGTTGAACCATTTCATCAATGCCTTTAGACATCTTCGGAAGATGTCTTTCAGTCTCTTCCTATACGGTTTCGACCATGATTGTGATATGAGTGATGATATGGATAACCATACTGACGAGTGGCTGGCGCTGATGGAAGGGAATGTGGCAAAAGTATTCACCGCAGCCACCGACTTGGAAGAGTTGGCTATCGATTTTACCGATAAAATGCATCGCATAACATTAAATAACTTTTGGGGTGATCATACCTGGCATCGCCTTCGTTCACTTAAGCTCTTTCGCAAAAGAATGTACCAAAATGAAATGGTTGAATTAATACGTCGCCATTGCAAGACACTCGAGGTTCTGCATCTCTATTCTATCGTTATTCACGGTGGGGGTTGGCCAGAGGTAGCAGATGTCATGCGAGAATGCGTTGCTCTACGGTCACTCTCTTTTGGTCGCCTAGGAGAGCGAGTGGACCATAACAATGTTAAACCAGTTATAATAGAGAACTTGGAGGAATATGTTCTTCGCGGTGGGTTAGGCCCGATCTACGATCCAGATTACCGCCCACAGACTCCGATTTGCGCATCTCTAGATTAGGTTGAACGGCCAGACGTTCCGGGAATGGGTTCCTTAAGATAGTCATTTTCATCAAACGTTAAGGGCTAGGCTGGGAATAGCAATATGGAATTTAACATCTATTCCTTCGCGGCTTCAATGTCTTTGACAGCCTTGCCAAACACTCCAATGATTGGCCCATACATAGTTTACTTTCGTCATCCAGTAGTGTCCCAGTTAAGATACCATTTTCATGAGTAGGAAATAGGACATACGACAGCTCTCTGCACAATGATTTAATGCACACAGACTTTGCTGGGAACTCTAAAAAAAGGTACTCCTCGAAATCAGTTGCACCTATGCAACATTTATTTTTCCTTCCTGCAATCTATTCGTAATATCCCATAAGCCACTTCTTTAGCAGACTATCTTCAGGCTCCTTTATCTTTTGAAAGCTCGATCGTTCCCGCCCATTACTGGCGTATCGCCAAATGGGCATATAGGAACACGATCCAAGATTGTAATGGCAAGTATGATCGATGGCACATAGCATCTTACTCATGAGGGACTCTATTGTGTCTGTTGCTGTTGTGTCTCACTTTATTTTGTTCACTATCAATTTTCTTGGTGAGATTCAGATCAGTGTGCCTAGCCTACTATGTGCACTAGAATGCCACATGATCATCTCTATTTAAACAGATGGTTACAATAAGCCAACCTTCCACCTCCACCAACACTCACTAAACATTGATCACACTCTTTATCTTATCATCATCATCATTTATAAGAAAGTAAGTAGATGATTCTATAACACACAATGACTAGTTGAGAAGCAGTGATTTAACTCAGTTATTGCAGTATCATTTTCATTTAATTCTCAGCACTCTTGATAGTCATAGTTTCATCAGTGTTGCCATTCTGTGTTTTGGAGATGCTAGGTAAATAGCTCATAACTGCTCATCATTGTTTAGCTCACAATCATTCAAATGAACTTTTCTGATTCACTTTGTGAATATTGAGAATGCTGAATTTGTAGCACTCTTCAAAGTTGAACATTGATGTTGAATCTTTTCAGCTTGCTGATCACTCAAATCTTTCTTAAAGTCATGAAGCTTCTGTGAGCCATTCTCATCACTAATCTTTAGAAGAAGATCAACTGTTTCCCTGAGAATCAAGTAGATATTTCAATTGAAAGAAGAATATATATTTCCAAAAAGATACCAATCTAAGATGTTTTAGATTGTGAAATTGCCCCGCAATAAGTGCATATCAGAGGGTGGAAGTAATCCAGCCATTGTTCGAAGACAAAAAATGAGAGCATCAGACCCATTGACACAAATCAAAAGTGCCTGCTGCAAGCTGCGCATACATCATTATCATCATTCATAAAAAGTTACATAAACCATGTTGCTTCTAGCGCTTAGTCCCTCTTGTCTCATCAGCAACAACTTCTTGTGCTATAGGAAGATTAGATTTAGGTACAGCCGATTTCTGGAGAAGGGTATGTGAAGATAGATCATGCTGCCGCGCTCTTCGGTTGATTGGATCATTCGGTGGAGGCCGAGGCTGTGTCCCCAGAAAGCAGAGTAAGTAAAGATATTAAGTCAATAAAAGATGACTGCGTGTAGCCCACCTTAAGTGTTGCATGCTCATCCCGAAGTGATGCTCCAGAGGGTCGAAAATTAGCGACAATTTGAAGAACGAGATCCAACGGATCTCGTATCGAACTCGAGGGTTCTATGCAAGCAAGGACAAATTTCTTGTTGCTGGAATCCACAGCCTTGATTACTATTTCTTCGTCTTCGGTTGGTACAATTTCGACACTAGTGACCTGCAATTGAGAGAACTCTGTCTCAAGCATCTCAACCACTTTCCGGTCGCCATTTGCACGGAGAATTCCCAGCCTATGCAAATCACTGAACATCTGAACAATTAGGCTATGGATTTCGTCTCGTTGACATTTGATGGGGCGTCCAATCGATCCACGTGACGATCGCTGTCTTTTGATCAGTGTGGGGGAATCCGGTTCGTTGCTGTGTAGCAAATGAAGTTGGGTTGATAGTTTAGATTGGGATAATTCATTGCCTAAGCCATGGTCACCTCCATTGTCTGCCTTTGTAGGAGTCACGCAAGAGGAGTCGCTATCCAAACCAATGTCGCAAGCTTCACGAAAACACTCTATCGCCGTGGGTCGGTCTTCAGGTTGTATTTGCAACATTTTTTGCAGAAGTGTAAACATAGGTTGGTCCGTTCCACGGCCGGAAAGGTCTTCAACAGCCATAGAGATGTGCTGATACCATTCATGAGACATAGGGATGATGTTCGGAAGGCTGTCTGCATACTGCAACACCACAACTCCCAAGGACCACAAGTCGACTTTCCTGTCATAGCTGATATTAGTGTGGTTTCCTGGATACCTTAAACGTTCTCTATGTACTTCCAGGACTTCTGGCGCAATATAAGATGGTGTTCCACACATTGTTTTGAGAAAGGATAAGTCTTTCGAGAGACCGAAATCAGCTAACTTTATGTGCAAGGGTGTATGGCGATTCTGAACAAGGATATTCTCTGGTTTGATATCCCGGTGCACAATGTGTAAGGAATGGAGGTGTTGCAGAGCATCAAGGCCCTGAAGAAGGAGCTGTCGAAGCTCTGACCCACTGAGAGGGCATTCGCGATGCTGGTCCGCCAGATTTCCAAGAGGTAGGTATTCCATGATCAGCTGGGGTTGAGTTTCGTCATCGTAAGCTATAAATCGAACGATATGCCTCTATGAAAACTTGTTAGATAGACGACCTCCTTTGAATGTGAGAAGCTTACATGCAAGATTCCTCTCATAATCTCCACTTCTTGAATGAAGTTAAACTTAGTAATAAAATGAAATTCTTTCGCTGCATACACCTCTGCAGTGCTCACATCCGTCACTAAACGAACGGTTCCGAACGTCCCTTTGCCAAGTATGTCCCCCGGCAGATAGATGGGTGCTTTTCTGGGAGACAACCGCTGACTTGGTAATGCAGTTGTAATGTGACTGTGAATGTCCGGAAAGCTGTGCGGAAGGGATGCTTCGTGTTTCTCTCTCAGATATGCCCTAAGGTTGACATGATACTCAGTTTGGCAAGTCTCATGATTCGGCAACTCAATTTCAAGATAGAACCCATTCGGAAGATGGATCCGCAGCTTCCTATCGGAGAATACGATCCATTTGAAGTGATGTCGTTTTTTTTCTGCTCCCCAACCATCGTAGCTAACAGCGATTCCGTTGGTCGACTCATCTTTAATAATAAGATAACCTTTGTCGTCAAAGGTGATATAGAAATGGAACCCGCTAATACCTCGTTGGCCTCTGTTTTCAGCCAACAAGACGTCGCATTTCTGGTCTGTGCCGAATGAAAAGCCCCGCCCAATCTCCTTCGGTGGATGGTCAAAAGTGAAACAGAGTCGATGGGTTTCTCGCGCTCTCAGATCGTTATTATTCTCGTCGGGGTCCAGAAAAGGAGTGGCCTCTCGACTCCGGACATCGAAATCGGACTCGCTGGGTGGGGGGATATAGCGATCGCTGTTATGTTGCAACTGCAAGGCGCTGACCCCAGGAGTCTCCTCGTATGCCTTCAAAGTTAAGATGAGGTTTGGATTGCCCATTATCGTCATTGATTCAAGGGACTAAGTATCGATAAAATATACTAGTACCTCAGGGAAAGCTATCTAGATGTGAAATTTTTATACCAGAAACCACGAATGCGAACGCTCTCCAAGTAGGGAAAGTAGAGCAGAATCAAGCCAGGCAGAATGATGTTGGGCACCATAGCATGGCTGGCCCTACAGTCAACCAAAATGACCATATGCAGAGCACGGGTAGGGTCTTAAGAACGGGATGTGACTTTGTCCCCAGCAGCGAGGCTGTAAATAATACCAAGCACCTCATGACCTCAACAGTACTAGTATTGTGGATAAAGCAACAATCAAGATATGTATATATAGATAGATAGATAGATAGATAGATAGATAAATGTTTTAGATCCCTGTCCGGTAAATCAATAAAGAATGTCTATACAGAGGTCTGTGAATACACAAATTATCCACCGAATTAAGTACACCGTATGAATGTAATTACAGTACGCGAGAATACACCACTTGTTACAATAATACAGAGTTAGTTAATAGACCGAGAAAGTATGAGCATCAATGCTCATCACAGTGTTGGATCTTATCTACTTTGCTGATATTGATAGGGTCTCTTCTCTGCTTCATTCTCAAGATGCTGCTGTTTGAACAATGAAATCCTCAACTTATCAGCAGCAGAAGCAGCAGTAGATTGATTATTGGAGTTATTGAAGGGCATATTTTGATATTTAATGAGATGTATGTTAACTATTAAAAAAGATGATGATACAATATTGCTACTGCTGCACCCTCAAACCAAACTTTTTGAATGGGTGAATATATTAAATACATCAAATCTCATTCTTACAAGGCATTCGGATAGTGCAATTTGATAGCTACCTGATTGTTATCGAAATCCAATTAGAACTTGGCAACTCGGTGACAAACAGAACTCTCCAATCCACTTTTCGTTCATGCGCGCGCGGGGCATTGCAAGGAGGTTCTTTTAAGATAGGTTGAACGTGGTTGGTTGTTATCATACTCTCAAGCGGGTAGCGGTAGCTAATATAATGGATGTGGTATGGGCTTGTTGTTGGACGTCTGAGTGGTTGTATTGGCTGCTATCTACTGGGGGTGATATATTAAGCCACTAGGGAAAAAGAGCCTGATCGCCACCAGCGCCATGGGGACGAACCAATCCAAACTAATCCCTCCAACATGATACACTATGCGGAGCACTAGTCTGCAATAGGAATCCTAGGGGCGCCAACGCTTGTGTAACCTCCAACAGTTTTGTTTGTTGTTGCGGACGATAAAGGGCTCACTCATCCCGTGTTGTGGAGTCGCCCGTCCGGGCCGGGTTACAGTTGAACATGGTTTATTAAAAGTTGGATGTGGTTTAAAAAAAGTGGGTCTGAAAAATAAACCATGATCAGTCCTTCACTCCCTCACTAAAATCTACATCCATTGAACATCTTACCCTCACTGTATATTACTAATCAGTCCTTATTTAGTTCTTCTACTTCAACATCTGAGGCTCTTCAGCATCTGAAAAGCAGTTATGAGTTAGAATTGGTGATCTAAAGTTAGAATCCAGGTTAGCTAAGAAATAGAGCTCTTGAGAAATATGATAAAATCACTGTATCCAATGCATTTGAGGATGTGTAAGATATGTATGAGATATGACTAGTGTATGTAGTTTTAATGGGGGGTTTGGCATGGTTTATGGTCAAAACCACGCCGAAGGTTATTCCGGCCCGAAAAATTAACCCCATTCAACTTATTGACCACATTCAACTGTAACCCGCCCCGTCGCGGTTCCCAACAGCTTTTACAAAGCTTAGTAATCATATATTTTTCTCGCGCACATCCTCCGACGTGTAAATCTGTGCTTCCGCACTTTTGCAAACTCGTGAAGCGAACTTTTGAGCCCCGACTTCCACTTTCCTGCATGCTCGGCATCATGGCTTCACGTATAACGATATCAATCCCTGATTTGGAAACACTAAGGCCAAGTGACCTGGAAGGAGTGAGGTAGGTGATCGTCTTCTATCGTGTTTAATGTTTGAGATGCCTGCTGACCCCGGGAAGATGGATCGATAGGCCAGATGAACATGATTGGACCGAAGAGCATATGCTCAGGCTAAGGTAGCTATAAACTTGTTCATTAGAATATTTTCATAGTGCGAGATGGGTGCTGAGATCTCTCCGTTTCAAGGGAGATTGTCAATAAGCGAGATCTAGATCACCCATTAGATGTAGCAGCGCTGGAGCAGAAACTTAAGTAAGCCGATTCTCAGGTCTTTCTACCCCCCATGAGTCGTTCAACCCGGGCCCCATTGGATATGATGTCTAAAGTTGCTATAGAAATCTCCCGTCAACACCCAGCACTCGACGCTCCCAGAGTCGCTCGGCAAGTCAAACGCCAATATATCGCTCTCCAACCCATACTCCATCTCCCCGCCAAGTAAGCGAGGAATCCCGCCGTAGGGTTGAGAAGTGGTACAATGATCTCATACAAATGGGCGGCAGACCGGCCTATCCCTTCGAGCTCGCATTCGCTCATCCAAGAGCTTACAAAGAACACGCAGATATCATAAACAGCTTGGGATCGGCGCCAAGTGGGTTTCTTCGACAGAAAAATGCATGGATTATGTTTCGAAAATCTCAGCGTTGGAACCGCAGAACCGAAGAGATATTCGCCCAGTATCAGCGGGACGTGATTGAATACAGACAGAAGGAAAACATCAAGGGTGATATTCATCTACTGTTCGACGCCGCAAAACAGACCAAGGTGGATGAGTGGAAGGAGTACCAGTTCTGCGAGCACCGGAAAATAGGTCAAATGAGGATAAAGGCAGAGCAGGGTCGCCAGCGACGAGAGCAAGAGCGGAAGGAATGGGAGGCAGTCAATGGAAAAGGGAGAATTATAGACCCTAACGAGCCATCCGACATAGCGTGGATACATCGAACCGCGGCTGAAACGGAGTTATCCGAGTTTACTTTTTTCCTGGATTGGATAGAACAGCAACTACCAAAAATCGCACAAGAAGAATTCGACAACGACAAATCAGGAGGTGTATTGGGGGCTTCGAAATCGCCTGAGATGCCTGAAACAGCTGTGAGTCGAGACACGGCGGTGTCTACGCGCTTACGCAGAAAGAATAATTCTATGTCGAATAACGGTATACAGAGTGCTCCACGCTCCATTCTCAAACCAGTCGATGCGCGGAGAGTTTCCAAAGCTGGCCGGAAAACGAAAGAACTCGTCCATGACAAACGCCGGCTTCAGGACATGCCATTGTCCGATACATCTTCCGTAATTCTCAGACGCAATGGCGTGAGGAGAGTCACCGAAGAACAGACGATGACAACACAGCGGGATGCGATGTTTCAGAGCTCTGCAAATATGGCATCTTCAGCTGAACTGGCACCATTGCGTAGGAGCCTGCGAATTAAAGACCTAGAAGCCAAGAAAAACAATCAATCCCGAATCATGCAGAATGTGGTTCCACATACGGACCGGACATCCAATTCCAAGGGAAAACCCAAGAGGCAGGAGTCAAGGTATCGGAATCCACCTCCACAAGCTACCACCACGGGAATCAGAAAATCCCGAGTAACTAAAAGGAGCAATTCTTCCCGTGTTGCGTTGCAATACGGTAAATAAACCAGCGCCCTTGTCCATCATAGCAATTCCATTCTAGGAATTACCGTCTTTGGGGGAACGTACCTCATCCAAGGCTGCTAACTCCCTCACCGGTTATGCCAACACTAACCCGCCAGAAGGGAACCTAGCAAAGGCAATACTCAGATTTATGCTTCTTTCGGTTGACATTAGCACCATCCCGCTTCTGGTTATCGGGCTCAAGTTGGCGGGTAGCAATGTCCCTGAAGGAGTGCCACCGTGAACAGCTTGCAAGCCAGGCATGAGTTAACCAAAAAGTTCCTGTTCAACCTATCTTTGCCTGTTGGAGTTCCTCTACAATCTTACGCTAAGAACGTGGCGCAAGCAACGCCACTTATTGGATTGAAGGGGACGAAGGAGCTCGTTGATTCATCGTTAGGGACGGCGGTTGTCCGAAACCCATTTGTTTCAGACTGACTGCGTGCAAAGCAACCAGTGACATGCCGTGAAGAAAGAGAAATGTCGATCTCAGGACGAAAGCACACCGGTCTAGAGATTCCATCCGATCCAAACAACGGTGTATAGAATTTGAGTACATTTGCACGATGAAGTACTACTTACTAGCAGACGAGTGGAGCTGGTCGAGATAATTGCCTCAACATGAAGCTCCAGGGAAAGCCATCACTTCTGCGAAGGGACCATGGTAGTTTGGTATTTTTATTAATTTCTAAGGGATATCACGATACTCAATGCTTACTTTTGAATTGGAGGCAATACACAAAACACCAGGAGACGGGTGAGGAATATGGCTGGTCCCTTTGGAAGGGGAAAATAGCTCGGCGATTAGTGATGGTTATACAAGATGATAGGCATTGAGTGTTAGCAGGTTATTCTATGGTATCATGTAAATTAATAGAGAAGAGAAGAATACGAGTTTTGGGAACCTTGGTATAGGAATAAGCAATATCTCAGTGTTGTCTATATTAATATTTTCTGACCCTTAACTAGTAATTTTTGATGAGCAGGGAATTTTCTATAACCAGGTTTTATCTCGAATATAATAGGGACGCTCTCCAGCAGGCGATATCATCTGGTAGATGATAGATTGCATTATTTTCTTCTCTTTGCTTTGGTCAATTTAGTAAATCAGCGTATACATCAGTTGCTTTCTTTCTCCTGTTGTTTGTAGTAAATCGTTAACAATCATTCATTCTCAAAATCGTATTCTTCGCATACACAAAAAGAAAATCATTGGCTTATCTTGTGAGCGTAAAATCCAATCGACGATGAGAGATAACATCTGTAGATTATTCTTCCATTTCATAAAACTGGAGTCTTGATTATTCCAGGCCTTAGCTGTTCAAAGCCACCTACCTCATAACTCGGAAATAAAATTCCTTATGACTCAACGCCTCATCCTCAAGCAATTGACGTTTAAATCGACTACAGCTGGATATCTCAAGTGTCTCAGAAGCCTTCCATGTTCACATAGATCCCGCTGAACAAATTGGCAGCTCCCAGTGAATTGGTCAATCGATATACGACTTACGGCAAGCAGATCTGCCCCTCCATCATCACATTCAAATTTTGCTATGCGCCACAACCGCCTCAGAGACAGCACCATCCATCCAACCCCCTCAACCCCCTAAATCGTACAATTGAAAAAGATATATACATATATATTCTTGTCTAAATAAGAGGGGGTAATAAAAATACGATCATCAAGAGAAGAACAACAAAAAAAAACCATGCCTGCCCGCGCCTCCATCTCCTACTTCGGCGCAGGCCCCGCCCCGCTCCCAACCCCCGTCATCGAATCCGCCGCCGCAGCCCTCATAAACTACCACGACTGCGGCCTGGGCCTAGCGGAGATCTCGCACCGCTCCCCCGTCGCGAACAAGATCCTCGCCGACGCCAAGGCGGGTCTGATCACGTTGCTGGATATTCCCGCAGATGACTATGAGATTCTGTTCATGCAGGGCGGCGGGAGCGGAGAGTTTAGCGCTGTCGTGTATAATATGGTCGGGGCGTGGGTTGAACGGAGGAGAAGGGCACTTGTAGCCAAGGCCCAGCGCGATGGAAAGGAGGGTGAGGGACCGGAGGTGGAGGCGGAGTTGAAGCGGATCGTGCGCGAGGAGCTGAAGATGGACTACCTGGTCACGGGCTCGTGGTCGTTGAAGGCGATGCAGGAGGCGCGGAGGCTATGTGGGGAGCGGTTTGTGAATGTTGCTGCTGATGCGCGTGAGGAGAATGGGGGGAAGTTTGGGACCATTCCGGACGAGAAAGGGTGGAGGCTGACGAAGACGAGGCGGGAGGGGGGGAAAGGGGGTGCGCCGGCTTTTGTGTATTATTGCGATAATGAGACAGTGGATGGGGTGGAGTTTCAGGGGTTTCCGGCGTGTTTGGAAGCACCGGAGGGAGATGTTGCGGAGGAGGATGAGAGGTTGGTTGTTGCGGATATGAGTTCGAATTTTCTAAGTCGAAAGGTTGATGTGCGGAAGTTTGCGGTTATTTTTGTAAGTCTGGGATGGGTTTTGGTTCCTTCTCTAAATATCTTTTTATGTATCTTCTACTGATCTACATGACACAGGCTGGCGCCCAAAAGAACGTTGGTGTTGCTGGAATCACGCTGGTCATCATCCGCAAATCCCTTCTCCCCCCTCAAACAGCAACGCCGTCCCCAGATCTGCTGCGCAAACTAGAAATCGGCGGCTTGCCCGGGCCCATCATGTTCGATTACGCCACCATCGCCAAAAACAACTCGCTCTACAACACATTGCCCATCTTCAACCTCTGGATCGCTGGCGAGGTCATTACCAAGCTTGTGCAGATGTACGGAGATCAAAAAATCAGTGGGCAGGAAGCGGTTTCGAACCACAAGGCGAAGCTGTTATATGCCGTGTTGGATAAATATCCGCAGGTATACCACATCGTGCCGCATAAGAGCGTGCGGAGTAGGATGAATCTTTGCTTTCGCGTCCACGGCGGGGATGCAGAAAAGGAGAAGGCGTTCCTGGCTGGGGCTGAGAGGAGGCTTCTGCAGGGTCTAAAGGGTCACCGAAGCGTAGGCGGTATCCGGATCAGTAATTACAATGCCGTGCCGGTGGAGAATGTGGAGAAGTTGGTGGTTTACCTGGAGGACTATGCGAATGGGCGGGAGTGAGGTGATTATGATATTTCCTGCTATTCCACATTCCCCCTTTACCAAGACGTGTTCGCCTTTGGGGAGGATGAATATCAAGAAAGAGCAAGGGAAAAAGGCATACTGGCGTACTGGAGAAAGTTTCAATCAAATTCCATGGCTATGCAATATGTGACCAGATGAAGGAAGGATTACATTGAAAGAAAATCAAATTGCATTTCAGATGTCAGCCATCTCAAAGCTTCCGGACCGACCAATCCTTTAAATCCAGTTGACGTATAAGACCTTGGAGCGGGCCTTGGATTTCTTTGCCTCCACTCCACATCTTAGGGCCGGCAAGGTAACTTATAAATCCGTCCGGCCCAGAGATGAGAATCAATTTCGTCCCACCACCAGGACTCCTTGTTGCTCTTTCAGGCTCCGTAAACCCCAATATTGCATCCTTTCCAATGAGAGTCCCTTCCTCGTCCACAAAGTAGTCAACCGTAAGCATGCCTGGATATTGAGCCTTTAGCTCTTCGAGATACTGGACCGTAAGGCTCTTCTCAATGTCGTTCCGCTGAATTTGCCCCTTTTCAGGAGGGCCATTACCCGTGCGGAAAACCCATTTCCACCAGGACGATGAACCAGTGGTCGGCCGCCGGGAAGAACTGTCACTGACGCCTCCAAGGCAATCGTCCCTCCGCCGATTAGCCCACAGTATATGCATTTTCTTCTTCTTCTTCAAGTCCGATCCGTCGTTGTTTCTGAACAACGCGTGTACAGCCTGAAGACCCGGCGCAATCCCCGTCCCACCAGCAATGAACAGGATCTCCTGCACATCAGCGGGCAAGATATAATCCAATCGGGGGCCACGGAGATCCAGCTTCGCACCCACCGGCAGCCCGTGCAGGTATCCAGATACCTCTCCATAGGGATCTTTCCGGATCAAAAACCGTAGGGCATCGTAACCTGTACCTCCTCCTCCTCCTCCTCCGCGGCCTGGCCCTTCCCCTTCCTCCCCCGCCCGAGGAAGAGAAAGCGGAGGCAAAGGAGTATAATCCCTTCCAATCTGTAGCTGTGGCTGCTTGAACTGGACACTCCATAGACCCCTCCGCCAGGCCTCTTTGCATACCGTGTCATTATCCCCCAACTTCACTGGGCGCAGGGTGAAGATGCTGCTGCTGGAGGAGACGGGGATTTTGGAGACCAGCTCATATTGTGTGAAAGTGTATGGGTTTAGGGTTGCGGTGCCTGAGTCCGCTTCATATCGAGTGTAGGCGCCAATGGCAGCGGCTACCACTGTGACTATTGTAACTCTCAGCCATGTTCGTTGCTTTTGGGGTGAGGGTTTTGTCGAGAAGGCGGCGGAGGCATGACGGCGACGACGGGGAGCGGATGGGAGGTAAGAGAGCCGGAGACGTTTAGCAGGATGGAGGAGGGACATTTATACGGCTAACTGGTTTGCCGGAAACTGGTGGAAGGGAGGTTAAGAGATGTTATTTATTTACTCGTTTATTTATTTATTTATTTATCAATATTTGTGGTTTCAATTTTTGGGCAGAAAGCTTGCCGAGCGCTGCGGGCTGGATGGTACCTAGGGGTACAGCGATCTCCCTACAAATATCCACTAGCGCGAAGTATATCCAGGTTCCCGCCAGCCCGACTGCTCCTTTTCCCTGCTGATGCGACAAGGGAATTCTTCCGACCAAACAACTTCAACGACGGCAGCGACTCCTTTTCCTTTTCCTCTGCCTCCTCCTCCTCCTCCTCAAATACATACTCCTCCGTCCACGGCTTTATGATTTGATACCCAATGTAGCACTAGCCAGCTCCACATTCCAAACTAGAACAACTGTCCTCCCCCTCCTGGAATGGCGACGAATGTATACTCTTTTTCTTAGGCGCCCCAGAGAGAAAGCCCTCAGAAACACAACGACGAGCAACACCACGTCCTCCACAAAGAATGACTGCGGGCCCCCGAGAATCAAGATGGCCCGTCAGCAACGCGTCCAGAGATTCGCTTGAGTTAGCCTCCCTCGCCTCCTCGTCCGGCCAGCATAGCGGCGACGAAGGAGAGACAGGAAGCTCCAACTCCCGCTCCTCGTCCCCCTCTGGCATCTCCTCCTCCCGCAAAGCCTCTCTCGAGAACCAAGACCCGTTCTCCGACCCCCTCTACGAACCTACGCGCTCAAGACATGCACGATCCTACTCCGTTTCCTCTGCCTTTGACTTTGGCAGTAACCTTTTCCCCCTCTCGCAGACCGTGGGCGGCTATGCCCCGCTCGGTGGTCCCTCCGCCCTCTCTCTAGACGGTCACAATGGCGTCATCGACGGCTCGCTGGAAAGACGCAAGACACTGACATATTTGAATGGCCTGTCGTTGATAATCGGACTGGTGATCGGATCGGGCATCTTCTCGTCCCCGGGTCGCGTCAACGCAAATGCGGGATCCCCCGGTGCCTCGTTGATTGTGTGGGCGGTTGCGGGCCTGTTGGCCTGGACCGGCGGCGCGAGTTATGCGGAACTAGGCGGTGCGATACCCCTGAATGGCGGTGCGCAGGTGTACCTGGCCAAGATATTTGGGGAGCTGATCGGTTTCTTGTTTACCTGGTCTGCCGTGTTTGTGCTGAAACCAGGCTCCGCGGCCATCATCTCGATCATATTTGGCGAATATGTTGTGCGGGCGATCGTTGGTGCGGACGTCGAATTTATTAGCCCTTGGGTTAATAAGGGGGTGGCCATTCTGGGCCTTTTGATCGTAACGGGTCTAAACTGCATATCTACCCGCCTGGGTACGCGCATCGGGGACGTGTTTATGTTTTTCAAGTTTTTGGCCCTCCTCGGGGTTACCATTATCGGGATCGTTGTTGCTACTACAGGGCTGTCATATAAGGGTGAGCCAGAGCGGGAATGGCGGACGACAGGCTGGTTCGAGGGTACCAGCACCGATGTCTCAGGCTGGGCGGTAGCGTTATATGCAGGTTTATGGGCATTTGACGGGTGGGATAACGTATGTCTTGTTTCTTCATCTCCCCCGAAATCCTCCCGAACCCTCCTTCCCCCTTTTCTGCCTGATTTATACTTTTTAACCGTTAAACTCACTCACCCGTGGATATTTAGACAAATTACGTGACGGGAGAATTCAAGAATCCCAGCCGCGACCTTCCCCGAGCAATCCACACTGCCATGCCCGCCGTCATCCTCTGCTACATGCTCGCGAACATCTCCTACTTCTTCGTCCTACCCTCGTCAACCATCAACGCAACCAACACCGTGGCCGTCCAATTCGGCGGGAAAGTCTTCGGCCCCATCGGCGCCCTAGTGCTCGCTCTCGTTGTCTCCGCCAGCTGCTTCGGCGCCCTAAACGCCACCGCCTTTACCTCCGGCAGACTCGTCTACGCCGCAGGGCGCGAAGGCTACCTGCCGTCGATCTTCGGGAAGATCGGCATAGCAGGCTCCGCCGCCAGTGCAACAGGGTTGCGGCTCCGCCATCGCTCCTGGTTCCGCGAGGCCCTCATCCGCGTCTTCGGCGACGACGTCGGAATCGGCTACACGCCCATCTACGCCATGATGTTCAACTTCACGCTGACAACTATCTACATCTCCGTCGGCGAGTTTGCGACCCTGGTCACCTTCTATGGCGTGGCGGGGTACACGTTTTATTTCCTTACGGTGCTGGGGCTGATTGTGCTGCGGATCCGGGAGCCGCACCTGGAGCGGCCGTATAAGACGTGGATTACGACGCCCATTATCTTTTGTTGCGTGAGCTTGTTTCTGCTGAGTCGGGCGGTGTTTGCGGAGCCGCTGCAGACCCTCCTTGTACTTGGATTTAACGTCGCGGGAGTTCCGGTGTATTTTTGGAGGATTAGAAAAAGAGATGGGAAGAATCTGCTCAACATGGAAGCGGGTTGGTGGAAGTTTTGGAAGAGGCGGGGCCGTTCGTGAGGACTGTTTTTATTGTTTTACTTCCCCCCCTTTTTTCCTTTTATATATATATATATATATATCTATATGTAATTTTTTTGAGGTTTCTTTTTCCCTTTGGTCCAAGGATGGAAAGGGGACTTTGTTAGACCATTGCTGTATCCGAGATAGACATATCCAATGCTTTCAATTGAGGATGGTGGATGTCCCTTCGAGGGGGGAGGGGGGAATATGAGATACATGACGAGGTTATCATCACCAGGAATCGTTTTCTAATCTGACGACATTGGCTCATCTGCATAACTCAGGCCAACCAACCAACCACGTAGGACGATTTTACCTGCAACCTCCTCACATATGCACATATGTACTGTGCATATAATACAAATAAATATATATAAAAAAAATTAAAAAAATCAAAAAGAATAATGGCTGCGTCGGCCGGGAATCGAACCCGGGTCTCGACATCGTCAGAAGACTGACACTATCGATTGTTTCCGCAGTGACCATGGGAATGTCGAATCGTAACCATTGGACCACCGACGCCAAGTCAGGTTGCAGCCAACCGCAGCGTTGTGGGGTTTATGGCCGCGGACCCCATCCAACCACCTACTGGTTTACAATGATAGAGAAGCATAATCTTTTGATAAATCTTACTTTTGTATATATATATATGTATGTATGTATTTAATGTTCTAAAGAAGATGCAGCATCTACATCATCAAAGTCTTTCAGAGAGTATGAAGACATACGGCCATCCGCACCTGTAGTCCTTTTATTTTCATACTACCTCATCTCAACACGCCAACGCTTCTACCTCTCAAACCCTTTACAATAACATCCGCTATGGGGCCTGAAGATATTGTACGTCCAAGTACTGAAAAGAACCGAACTGTGTATGAACAAGGCTTTCGTATCTGGACAACGCTTCATGCGCGTGCTCGACAGGAACACAGCCTGCCCCAAACTTGTTTCCAGATCCAGGACGCATTTCAACAGTTACCTCCCTTGGTCCATGGCCTGGATCTGAAGTGTGAGTATAACTGCCTCTACGCGACCGGAACGTCGATTTGGGGAACTTCGCAGGGACAATGCAAGATACCACCTGTGGAAAAGAGACTTGAGCTACCAGTTTCTATCAACCACTCGACACGGCTTTTGCTCTCTGAAAGCCTGGAGCCGACCTATCAGAAATGGTTTAATCGCGAAGGAAATCACCTTTCTGTGTTAATATTGGCGTGGAGCTACATATTATCAGCGCGTTAGGTCGAGCTCATGCCCGGAGCTGAGCTGACTTATACTGAGAAGCACGCGGAATACGGCAACAACGAGAGAGACGAACACACCCAAGTCATGGTGGATGTAGGAGATGTTGGAGATGATGCGGCCAGATGGTGGGCCGCTGTTTTGTCCCCTGGTGAGGGATGGCAGGCTTACCTTACATGGGAGCAAGCAAGATTCCGATCGCCTTGGTCGACTGCTTTGGAAACCCAGGCGAAATTTACGCTTTCCTGCCGCAAGCCACTCTGCCATACCTCAACTACCGCACCTTCGTTCACCACTGCAGTTCGTTTTCTTGCAGAATACTGCAATCTACACAACATTGTTGACCAAACCCTGGCAGCACTATCTTCAGCATTGTTTCTTCCTTCGTTGCATACAAAGAAAAACCCAATATCACTCCCGAAGCCCAATTGTCATAAGAGGCCAAGGCTGAAGCCAGCCATATCAGAGCCGACTGAGCAGAAACAACCTGGCTTTATATCAGAGCAGATAGTGTCAGAGCTGGACAAACTTTTGACATTGAGTTGCAACACACGAGGTCTACACTCTCTTTTGTCGAGTGTATTTTATGAACCTGGAATACCTTGCAATGCCGTAAGCCCATGGCTGCAGTCTACATTCACTGTTCTTGACTCTGTGAGGGATGACCATCTACTTGCTCATATCATGATGAACCGAGTCCCGCAAGTTTCTTTCCTTTGGCTTGGTGGCATTATTGTGGGTACTCACAAGAACGTCCTCCAGGATGGTCGATTCGGCCTACTGCCGATTGAACTCCATGCTGCATCATGGTGTGGTGTCACACAATCATTTTTGCAGGAACCTGTCTCCCAACCCCCAATTACTAATGAGACACTTTTACGGTCAGATGAGTGCCGACTTCTCTATCTGACCCAAGCAGAACGGCACACTCGGTGGCCGGTGTCTCCATGGATGCCTTTCGGTACCACGGCACTTGAAGATGCTGAAATTGAGGTCCGTCTACATGCACAGTGTACTGGTCACGGTCTTCAATATGCGGATTGGCATTGGGCTTGTCGAAATGGTAAACTGCTACATCCATTGTGTGTTAAAGCCACTACATCTGCCCGTCCACCGGCCCAGCACCTGGCAATAAATACACCCATCAAATACGAAGCTCTAAATCTCGAGGAAGAATCAGCATCAGAAAATGCTACACGAAATATCTTTGGCTGGCTCCGAATTGATGGCTACCCCCCACGGGAACAGGGTATAAGTAACCACGAGTGGATCAATCTTGGTGAATCTGATAATGAATCACCATTCCTGAATGAGCCACCAAAGAGCCATGCAGCCCCAGCATCAAAAGCTGTGGTGGAAGACTGGATACAACGCAACATTCTGATACCTGACTCAATGATGGATCCGTCACAGATTTGATCCTTCCTGCAAAGGATGTAGATTCGCCAATGCCAACTAAATTTCGATTCGAGCACATTGGTTAGTATTCAAGGAAGGCTACGGCGCTCGGGTGCTGGTGGATTTCACGTGTTTAGTGTTTATTTGTATGCACATAGTTCATTCGTCGCCCTTCACAGGTGCTTCGTACAAGATACCGTGTCCATAGTTTAGCCTAGAATTTATCCTACCTTGCCATACCCCAACGCCAGTTATTGTTACAGCTACCGCTACAAAATGCCACCCCCCGACACGGAGGATCCTTTGGCGCCGACCAGTTCCCCGGCCCTCGATAATCCCGATGAGGAAAAGTTTTCAGAATGAGAACCTGGCATCAAACAATTAAAGCTCATCGCCACTCGTGTAGATATCTATCATCACCAACATCACCAATTGTTCCTGTCATCGTCGGGCCCTCTGACTCAGCCCGAACCTTCCACTTACACTCACGCCTTTTAGTTAAGGCCTCCTCCTCTATCAAAGCTGCTTTGAAACGGGATCGTGTTTCTTGAAATGCTAACTTTTATAAGTTGACCTTCAAAAGTGAGCTTCTAAATCCACGGGGAATAGTATAACGATCCAGCAAAAATTTACTTTGGCAAAGAAAAAAGAACTCACCAAAAAATGTCACCTCTCAGGCAGGTGATCGTCAATTTTGTAAGAGCCGGCATAGGTTAAGAAGTGTACTGGTTTGCCTGCCACACAACCTGCTAAGGTTTGTATGTCCATGTACATGTACAGTGGTGTCCAATAAGTCAGTGTACTAGAGGCTCGGCGCCGAGATTCAGCACCCTACCCATCTCAACTAGATATTAAATAAAATCTCAACCAGATATTCAATATAGAATTATATACATGTTTTATATAGTCAAATCAATAAAGAATATCTATATATATTTTCTTCTCTAATACTTGGTTGATTCATCTCTGACTTTGATAACTGTGACTAATCTTTGAAGCATGAAACTGATTAGATGCTGTATCTTAAGTTGTGTAATAGAATTTTATATCATCTGTAATTCTATTCTCATCTCAGCTTCAGAGTGTATTCAATATTGTATCTTTGATATACAGAACTTTATTATTACTTATAGATTCTCTATAGAATTTAAATCAGAACTTTGTATAGACTATTTCATTCAATTTATCTGTCAATCATTCATTCACTGTTTTAACAGCTTAGAGATATAATATCTAGCTCTATCTTCTGTTCAGAGTGCAATCCCATATTTTTCAAGAATATAGATATAATAAGAATAGTTATGAAGTAGTATAATCTTGATATACTTCTTAGAATTCATTCAAACATTCAATGGAATAAAAATCAGCTTAGATTTGAAATCTCAGCTTATTGCTCTTCATACACTTACTGAGATACACTCAGATTTGAAGATAGAGAGTAGATATCTACTTTTATTAGACTGGCTGCTGAGACTATAAATTATATATTTGATTTGATTTGATTTAATTTCAGTTCATTTCTTGACATGATTTTAGTAGAATCAGAATCAGAATGAGAGTGTAAAGTGACTAGAATTATTAAAATATGAGTGAAATGAAACTAAAAAATCTTGATATTTCATGTAAAGTGATTGATTATCAAAATCAGAATATAATCTGAAATTGATTATGATTTTGACTCAAGTTTGATTTCATTCTGATGATTATATAATACATCAATCTGATGATATAATTGATGAAGATATTATTTCTATCTTATTTAGTACTCAATACTTTGATGACTCACTATTAGATTCTCTATCTATCACTATCAATCTATCTATCACTGCTAATCTATATCACTGCTAATCTATCTACTACTGCTAATCTATACTACTGTCAATCTATCTATCACTGCTAATCTATCACTGCTAATCTATTACTGCTAATTTATTGCTGCTAATCTATCACTGCTAATTTATTACTACTAATCTATTACTGTTAATTTATCTACCACTATCAATCTATCTATCACTGTCAATCTATCTATCACTGTCAATCTATATAGAGTAAATCATGATTTCATTTGATTTCATTTTATAAAATGAGATCAAATGAAATCAGAATCACTAATTTATTAGTAAAATATAATCTGAAACTAGATTTATAATATAAACAGTGTAAAGTGATTAATTTACTAAACACTATATAAGATCAGAACTAAGATATCTAATAATAAAACTGAGAAAAAATTTGATCTCAGTTTTATATATAATTATATAGTCAGTCTACTCAGTGCTGAGAATCTCTCTTCTTATCTCTCTTCTTCAAAGATTTCTTCATCAATCAACATCTTCTCTATATATCAAAAAATGTTTTCAAAACTGAAAACATTGCAGAGAGAACACTCTTCAGCTATTATTAATACTATTTTGAATTTTTGAAAGTGGGAATATTTATTTCTAGATATAGCTTGAATTTTAGAGCTGTCTTACTCCATTATATTCTCTATTGTTTATTATGAATCTTATTGAATAGATGAAGAAAGTTCTAAAAAATACTCTGAGAGATCTTCTAAACTCTCTGCTTATAATCAATATTATCTTATTCTTTTTATAGAGAAGAATTTCTTTCACTCTCTAGTCAGCTTTCTTATATTCTTAAAATCTGACTTCTATATTTACTGAAATACAGCAAGACAGTATCTTCAAAAGAATAAATGATATATCTTTAAATTATAAAAGAAGCTCTATTTAAAGTCTATATATAAGGAAATTCAAAAAGCTTTTGATATTTAATACAGAAATTAGACTGATGAAGATTTCTCTTGTATAAGTTTTTCAGATAAAGTTTATTTTGAGATTGAATTGAATATATCAAGCAGTCAAGCTGCTATATTCATTATCTAATTGATAAAGATTATAAAAGTTAGACTGATTATATGACTATATATGAAACTGAGATCAAATTTTTTCTCAGTTTTATTATTAGATATCTTAGTTCTGATCTTATATAGTGTTTAGTAAATTAGTTACTTTATACTGTTTATATTATAAATCTAGTCTCAGATCATATTTTATTAATAAATTAGTGATTCTAATTTCATTTAATTTTATTTTATAAAATAAAATCAAATAGAATTATGATTTACTCTATATAGATTGATAGTAATAGATAGATTAACAGTGATAGATAGATTGACAGCAGTAGATAGATTGATGATGATAGATTAACAATGATAGATAGATTAGCAGCAATAGATTAACAGTAATAGATTAATAGTAATAGATTAGCAGTAATAGATTAATAGCAATAGATTAGCAGTAATAGATTAGCAGCAATAGATTAGCAGCAATAAATTAGCAGTAATAGATTAACAGTGATAGATTAGCAGTGATAGATAGATTGATAGCAGTATAGATTAGCAGTGATAGATAAATTAGCAGTGGTATAGATTAGTAGTGATAGATAAATTGACAGTGATAGATAGAGAATCTAATAGTAAGTCATTAAGATATTGAGTACTAAATAAGATAGAGATAATATCTTCATCAATTATATCATCAGATTGATGTATTATATAATCATCAGAATGAAATTAAATTTGAGTCAAAATCATAATCAGTTTCAGATCATGTTCTTATTTTTGATAGTCAGTCATTTTATATAAAATATCAAGATTTTTTAGTCTCATTTCACTCATGTTTTGATAATTCTAGTCACTTTACACTTTTATTCTGATTCTGATTCTACTAAAATAATGTCAAGAAATGAACTGAGATCAAATCAAACCAAATCAAATATGAAATTCATGGTCCCATCAGTCAGTCTAGCACTGAGCCACTAGTACACTGACTTATTAGACACCACTGTACCTACAGAGTATTTCAGTCAAAAGTTATAGATCAGTGAACAATCTGTGACTGCAGCTTTATATTTGTATTTGATACAGATCAGTCAGCACAGATCAATATAATCTATACTGACTCAGGTTACAGTTTATTAGACCACTCGGGCAAAAGAGCTTGATCACCCAATTCAATCCCTTCAACACATTTGAACATGGTTTAAAAAAATGGGTCTGAACAATAAATCATGCTCAGCCCTTCAATCCCTCACTAAAATCTACACCCACTAAACATCTTTACACACTCTCACTGTATATTACTAATCAGCTCTTATTTAGTCCTACTTCAACATTCAGAGCTCTTCAACACCTGAAAAGTAGTTATGAGTTAGAATTAGTGATCTAGAGTTAGAATTCAGATTAGCTAAGAAATAGAGCTCTGAGAAATAAGATAAAATCACTGTCTCTGAAGCATTCAGAGCATTGAGAGATGTGTGGGAGATATGGCTAGTGCATGTAGTGGGTTGATATGGTTTATGGTCAAAACCACACCGAAGGTTATATTCCGGCCCAAAAAATTAACCATTTTCAACTTTTTATTCACCACGTTCAACTGTAACCCGTGAAGGACGTTGACTATTTCAGTATTTTTCTATTATATAATGGTGATAAAACTGTGTTAGTTATCACCGTTGTAATTTTCCCTATTAAGGCAGCGATGTAGTAGGACTCACTTCCTGCAGCATACATCGCGATATATCGACAGCCCGAGTGCGATGCAGTGGTAAACAGTCAATGCCTCGTCTCCCCCTCGCCCTCCTCCGCCACGCATACACAGTACACCCCCTCCTGCCTCTCCTCCTCCGCGAATGCCGGGATCTGCCATCCGCCCGGAATGAGCTACGATGGCTGAGTGAGCATGCCCTTGCTGCGTGCCGGGGTGAGCGCCGGGGAAGTAGGCATAGGCACTGCCATGGCGGGAAGGCAGGGAGTGGGCCAATGGCTCAAGAAATCGATCGTAATGGCGGTGTCGATGCGGTGAGGGTGCAATCGAGGCTGCGGGAGATGGTGCGCCGGCGTGCGCGCGGCGTGCCGTTACAGTATATCCTCGGTGACCAGCCCTTTGGCGAGTTGGAGATGCTGTGTCGGAGGGGGGTGTTGATTCCGAGGTTGGTTTTTTTTTTTTTAGACAGGAAGATACACTACAACTCTCTTTTACGTTTTCCCTGGCGCTTTTCGTCGTATGCTGGGTGAAATTTTATATTTTATATCCATATATAATAAGCTAATTTCACATCGTTGTTTTTCTATCAATTTGATTTCCCCTGAAAAGACCGGAGACGGAATCATATACAACTCGCGTTGCCAACTTGTTGCTTTCGAAGCTCGCACCCACCAGGCGAAAGGGCCTCGCGCACAGGGACGAATGTAAATGTGAACACCTGCCGACCCTTCGCATCGTTGACCTCTGCACGGGCACCGGCTGCATTCCACTCCTCCTCCACTCCCTTCTCAGCCCCGTATTCCCAAAACTGCAAATATGTGGGGTGGATATAAGCGCCCGCGCACTCAAGTTAGCACGGGAAAATCTCAAGCACAACATCGCACTTGGAATGCTGAGCGAGAGGGCCAGGGAAGAGGTGTCATTCGTCAAGGGCAATGTGCTCTCTGGGCAATCGGAGCTCTCTGAACTGTACACCAGCAGCGTGACTCCGTCATCCAAGACCGCAGCCGCAGCCGCAGCAGCGGCGGAACCAGAAATAAACCCCGTAATCACCATCCTTCTCTCCAACCCACCCTACATCTCCCCCGCCCAATTCGCCAACGGCACCACCGCCCGCAGCGTGCGCAGGTACGAGCCCAAACTTGCCCTCGTGCCGCCCGCCCGCGCCCCCATCCATCGGCAGCAACAGGGGCATCCTCATCCTCGGACGCAATCGCCCTCAGCCGACCGCGCGCCATTGCCTACCGCTAACAATAAACCCCAGAACAGTAATGCCGATAATACCACCACCACCACGACGGATGCCGCTGGTGCATCTTCTCTCCCATCCCCAGCGGCATCAGAACGCCGGCTGGAGATGGGCGCCTGCGACGCAGCAGTCGTAGATGCGCGGCGGGAGGATATGTTCTACCCGCACGTGCTCTCCGCGGCCCTGTCGTGGGTGGATGCGGATCTTGTCGTGCTTGAGTGTGGGGATAAGGGCCAGGCGGGGAGGGTTGCGGAGATGGCTCGGAGGGTCTTGGGCAGGCTGGGTGATGGCGATGGGGTGGAGGTGGAGGTTTGGAAATGTGATGATGATGGTGGTGGTGGTGGATGTAGGCTTGGGATGGGCGATGGGGGTGAAGATGGGGATGATAGTGATGGTGATGGTGGTGATGATGATGACGATGGAGGAGCCAGGGCGGTAGTGGTTCGACGGGGGGATATTTCGAGACAAGCAGCAAGATATTTGATGTGACTAGAAGACGGAATGCATGCATGCATGCATGCATGATGGTCAAGCGCGTTGCTTTTTTACTTTTCTCTGATTTATAGCGGACTACGTCTTGTGCCGTACATACATACATACATACATACATAGATACTTACATATATATCACCGTCGAAGTCTCTCTTCTCAATTCCCCCTTCCCTTCCCGCTTTATATGTACTGTACATTACAGTATATACTCAACCCCCCCCTTTTACGTGAAGAAAGAACGCAAAACGGCGAAAGGGGAAACGAAAAAAAAAAAAAAAAGAAAAAAGAAAAGCAAAAGAAAACATCAGATGCAAAAATGCTCATCCGTTCATTCTTCATTCGTTTTTTCCGTTTTTGTCTTCCCTCCCCAACAAAACCTCTTCCCCGCCAAACCAACCGAACCAACCAACCAACCAACCAAACCAAACCAAACCAACAACCCCAGCGCAGTCCGTTAATTCCCATGCTGAAAATATATATATGAGTTTTGGAAGTACTGTACAGAAAGACGAAGACGAAGGCAGAGGCAAAGGCCAAAGACACGGGTATGCTTATACATAGTTATGTACAGTACATATGCGCGTAAAGCGTATATGTATGGTGTGTTAGGTATGTGGTTTTGAACGAAAGATGGATAGAAAGATAGAGAGATAGATGCGATGCAGAGTGAGAGAAAGAAAAAAAAAAGAAAAAAAGAAAAAAGGGGTAAATTGAAAAACAACAAGAATAAACAAGAATATACAGATAAAAAGAAACACGCCCCCACATGTACAGTCTGCTAGAGATTTTTATTCATGCAAAAGAGTTTTTTTTTTTTTTTTTTGGTACCACAGAGTCAAAACAAAAGAAATCCCAGAAACCCAAAAACCCAATTCCTCACACCATGCCGCCATCGATGATTTACACGACCCCCAACACCGCCGCGCCGGCCCCAAACCCCACCAACCCCGCCCACGCGCCCACGCGGCCCACCTGCAAAGGGCGCGCCGTGGGTCCCGCGCCGGCCGTCGAAGTCGCGGGCGGCGAGCCGGTCGCGGACGGTACAGCCGCGGCGCCGTCGCCGATTTCCAGGATGTGGTCCGCGGAGGCGTTGAAATTGGTCTGCGCGAGGGAGATCTGATTGTTGCCGAGGTCGTAGACGACGTAGGCGCTGCGCAGGAAGGTGTCGCCGAGGATCGGGGTGCTGTCGCCGGCGGGGGAGATGCCGAAGAGGCAGGCGGGCTCGCCGTTGGAGAAGGTTGGTTTGATGTTGGGAGGCTTGCTGTTGGGGTCGGGGCTGGAGGTGATGGAGGCGAGGTCGAGGACGAGCTCGTCCATGCCGACGGTGATGCTGGCGTTGCGGCTGCTGCCGAATTGGAAGGTGAAGGAGGCGCTCGCGTCTCGGTAGCGGCAGGGCACGAAAGCGGCGCCGCTGGGCTGGTCGTATATGGCCTGGATGGCGGTGTAGATGGTATCGACGAGCGGGTCGGGGAGGTAGCTGAGGCTGCTGCCGGTGTCAAGTAGGATGGGGACGGCGCCTGCAGCAAGTCTTTGGGTGACACCGCCGGTTGTCAGGGTTAGGCCGGTGAGGGCGACAACGAGGTCTACGTAGATGCCGCCTTCCCTTTGCTGGATGGGGAGGGTTTGGAGCTTGCCGTGGAACTTCTCGGTGTTGACGCCGCCGAAGAGGATGCTGCCGGTGCTAGCGTCGAGGTCGTTAAGCCAGATGCTATAGGCCGGCCAGTTGATCAAGCCTTGCTTCACGAGGGCGAAGGGGAGGTTTGCGTAGGGCTTTTGGCCCGACTTGGCCATCAGGGCTTCGTTCGTAGGGTATCCAATACCGAGGACACCCTCTATCAAAAGGTTAGCCAGCTTCTTTTGTCCCTTTCTCTCCCTCTCTCTCTCTTTTTTTTTTCATGCTTCCCCTTTCCGGTGTTCTCCTATCTGTTTAACATACCCGACGAAGAGGACGTATGCCCCACCCCGAACTGGAAGTCTTTCAACGACACCCCCCCAATCCGCATTGTATCCGTCACGTAATCGCCACTGGCGCTGGAGCCGTCAACGTAGGAGATATTGAACAGGGAATTGACGAACTCATAGGTCGACGAGGCAGTGCGGTCATAGGTTCCTCCGGCGCCGCAGGGATCTCCATTCTGGGTACACAACGTCGAGTCGGGAGCGTTACTCCAGAGGTCACTGCTGCCGGTGTCGAGGTGCATGCGCAGGGGCTGCTCCGGAGTGCCCAGCGTTATGTTACAGAAATATAGCGTCACCTGTTGGGCATTGCATGGGCAACGTGCGGCTGAATCAGAAATAAATTCTCGTATATATATATGCGTTCTGGATCGGGGAAGCACAGCGAAATGAACAAAAGATATAACATTGCAGATGCATACCTCATTGTTCAGCAGCTGCTCAACTACATTGCCTTTCCTTTTCCTCAGCCTGTCCCTCTCGACCGGGTTGGCGACGTGTCTGCGCTGGAAATCGAACCCGACGACGTTCCGGGCGTCCCTGGCGAGGAGCTGGATGGCGCTGACGGGGGTGGACAGGGTGGACAGGGAGCACAGAAGCGCCGTCCCCAGCGTGCAGAGAGCGGTGACACCGCGCATGGCGCACGGTGTTTGCTGGAGTTCTATGTCGATCGATCTATTGCGATTATCCCGCTCATATCAAGTTGTTTTTTTTCCTTGGTCGGGGGGTTTTCTGCTGGATTCGTGCAGATCGAGATCGACTTGGACGCTGGATTTGGCAATGAGATGAGCAATCCGGAAGCAGACTAGCGGATGCACGGCGGGGGACAGCGAAAGGAGAGGATAGAGATAGAATGACAGCCCGGTGGAGGAAATGGGGGGATTCGACGAGAATCGCTGAGGAGGAGGTAGAATTGACCGTTGGCGGGCGGAGACGAATATAAAGGAAGGCTGACGGTGTCGGCGTCAGGCAGCTCAGGCAGGCAGGCAGGCACCTACGCAGTCGTGCTGCGTATTCTACGGGCTGGGAGGTGTATATCGATGTATCTACAAGTGACTCTACAGCTATTCTCAGGATGTATCTGCGGATGTACATAGTATGTGTCTGCAGCCGCCGCAATGACAAGAGCCCCGTTTGTCAGCCACTGGCCAGTCTCCTGTCTGCATCTGATACATCTGTACTCCGTAATCTTTCCAGATCCGTACAGATTACGACGACCAGCACCCGCAGCACTGATACAGCAGCAAAACACAGAAACGGCATCCGCCACCGCGCACGGGTCGATCTGATTCGTCCCCTGGGCCTGGGACGGGTCAGATCGTGGTATCGGATCACCGCTAATCTGAATCCGGCATAGCGTGTACACGGCCATACCTGGTTTGGTTACAGCGTACATCACTAACTAACTACATCCGGGAATGAGGATATTAGCTAAGCAGGCATCGTCTTGCGTTGGCAGGAGTAACTAGCAAACTTGACGGTGTAACTCATTGCAAGAGAGACAATACTTTGTAGTAGCAATAGCAATGGGGAATAGGAATAGGAATAGTAGAGTAAGTGGTGGTATATGTGACAGTGCCTCCCCCCGAGAGACTTGTCATGCTTCATCTCCTGTTTCGGCAATGCCAGAATCGTCGTCATCACCCAGCCACGACGGGATACTGCGCCACGATTGTGAGTCTGTATTTCCGGGTGAACAAGAGAAGAGAAGAGAAACTTCTCACGTCCTGTACGTGTATCTATCTATACGGGGTGGGGTTATAGATCAGGATACCATACAGTAGGTGCTTGGGGGAGTGTAGGAATGTGAGTAGTTAGGGATACATGTCTATCAGTCATCAATGTCATGAATTTGTCTTTTTCATTCTCTCTCTCGCTCTCTCTCTTTTCCCGTTTCCCACCTCGTTCCTGTGCCCAATGTAGATTGAGCCCCCGGAAAACCCTTGGAAGTGGGAACGGTGCGAGAACCAACGTCGTTTCCCGGTTCCACCCACAAGCTGACTGACATATTCGTCGTCGATTGACTACCTTTTGGGAAAGAGGAAGCGGGTGGAATGTCCCATGCCAACCCCCAGTTTCATTTACCGGACGCTCTTATTTGCTCCCCTTGCTTTTCTTTTTCAATTCGATGCGTGCGGGCTGGACGGGGAAGAATGTATCTATTTTCTTTTCTTTTCTTTTTATTTGTGGCGTGCAGACCGGGGCTGTTGCTTCAAAACAGAGTTGTCACTTTACCCCTTCACCCCTTCACCCCTTCACCCCTTCACCCCTTCACCTTTTCACCTCTTCACCTCTTCACCGCTTCGACGACGGAAGCTGGAAGCTCTCCGGTTTCATGTTGATCCGGCATAGCTTGGCCAGACACCCGCTGAGCTGTACGAGCGTCTGCACCCCTTCCAATATCCGCATGTGCGTAAAGCCTATCTCCTTGATGAATTCGAGTCTGGTATGTTCAGAGAGCGTCGGCATCGTCTTCGTCACCCGGAACATCGTGCTGATTATGTCGTGCGAGGAGTAGCCGAGATCCCTGCGAAGCCAGGCCCATGGGTGAGTACGCTTGTCGTCAGTTCATATATATATATATACATACATGACTCAGGCCCTACTTACCATAATTCATTCAACGAATCCAACGCCGCATCGATCTTCCCCTCCCAGCACGCTTTGATCATCGCCTGCACTTTGACCGGGTGCGGACTGTCGACGACGCGGAAGACGTTTTCGCCGCTCACGAACCCAAATCCAGCCCACGTGCTCTGCAGGTTGTTGATGGCCTGCCGCATATCACCCTCCGCGCTGAATATCAACGCTTCTAGCCCGTCTTCGGAGTATTTTACCTTCTCCGCCTCGCAGATCTGTGTGAGCCGCTTGAGGATCTGCCCATCCGTCAGGCGCGCGTAGCGCAGGATCGCGCAGCGGGATTGCAGTGGTTCGATGATTTTGTTCGATTGGTTGCAGGCGAAGGCGAAGCGCGTTGTTGTGGAGTAAATTTCCATGGTTCGCCGGAGGGCTTGCTGCGCGCCGGATGTCATGCTGCGATTGTTTGGGTGAGTATGTGGGGGAGTGGATGGGGAGGTGGAATTGGGAGAGGGCTGTGCGTGTGTATACCAACCTGTCTGCCTCGTCGAGGATCACCAATTTATGTCGCCCTTGTGGGAGTGTGACTTTTTTCTGCGCGAAGCCTTTTATTCGGTTTCTAACCACATCGATGCCTGCGAAAGCCACGGTGAGTAAACCTGATCGATCGAATCATTGCAGAGCGAGTAAAAATTGAGCAGCAGACGCTGTAGCAACAACAGCCACAACAACAAAAAACAAGAGCAGCACACCTCTCTCGTCGCTAGCATTCAATTCTAAAACAGCCTCCTTATATGAATCTCCCAGCATCTGTCGCGCTAGACACAGGATCGAAGTCGTCTTCCCGATCCCCGGCATACCAGAGATGATAACATGCGGCATGTTGCCATTGCGCGCAATGATTTTCAGCCGCTCAATGGTCTCTGTGTTTCCGACGATGTCATCGAGGAATACAGGCCGGTACTTCTCTACCCTACACATCCATGTGTGAAATTAATTAGTACCAAATTCACCATTCTCGATTGAAGAGGACCTTCGCTTTACCAAGGTAACTCGTAGTCTGCGGGAGCCCCCGCGAGATTCTCTTGCAGGCCTCTTTTGGCCTGAGCTGAAGATGACTCTGGCTTATCCATAATGAGCTCGTTTGAAATGTGGAATAAATGTTTGAGCGTGCTGATGTTATGCTCTCGCTGCTGTCTCGATGAAACTGCGGAATCAATTTGCTTCAACGCGTCGTGTAAATCACGTGTGTGATTTCAACGTGGGCTTGGATTTGCGCCAAGACATCTGTGCCAAGACATAAAACGGAACATCCAACGATTTACTTTTCGATATAGGATGCAACTCATCTTCCTACACTAATAGTAATACTCTGACATCCGCGGCGCCGTTATCGATCTAATTACTACGCCCTCAAGAGGGGCCCCTACCACTGGCAAGTCTCTCTCTCGCGTTGACATCTCTCCGACCAAACATGTCTCCGCACCGCAGCAAAGGCGGTGAATGGACTCGGCTGCTAGTCGAGGCAAGAGTACTAACTATTATTTGAGGCCATCCGCTCTGCACGTATAGGGACGTGCTAAGATTCTTTTGAGAATTGCTTTACTGGGACGGAGCGGATGCCTCTCGGCCGGTCCAACTGCAGACAGTCTTCTCTCAAAGGAGCGATGTAGCTACTACACGATGAAGGTCCTGAGAGAACTCACCTGCTCCGCGCAGAGTTGGTTTGATTGCCAAATAGCTGAGTGGAGGCCGATCAGACAAAAAGCACAACTACTGGAGAGGCATTGTGCCGATTAGTGAACTCTAGTCATCCAGATATGATAGTGTCCAAAGGGACGCTGGTGCAGCTCGCTTGATATGCGCGAGTTGTATATACCATGTCAGTCAGCATTCAGCATGCTGCTAGCTTCATGTGTTCAACTATCTGTAGAGCTTGGATCACAATGTGTGTTCTTTGCCCGCGCCCAGAATGCTACGTCCCTGTCAATATTCATGAGAAGCCAAAACAACTCATGGTGGCAATCGCTGGCTACACAATGATAAATGAGAGGTCTTGCTCTAGGCACATTTATAGAGTGGGTGACTGCCGTTTCATACACCTCGTGTTGGAGGGGACAGAGGTGAAGCTACACGCAAAATCACGGTATCCGCTCATCGACAGACAAGACAATTGACTGCCGTGGTCCGCAGACAGTCCTATCATCTTACGGAATGTTCGGATTTCGGGGACTGAGATCATATTACCAGGTTTTCTTGGACTCTCCACAGATGGTGACCCGAAGCTAAGGGCATTTGAAATCCGCTTAAGCATGTATGGTCTTCGGAAACACCTACTCCCCTCCGTAGAACATCTAGCACTCCGTGCTGGGTTGTCTGTTCCACAACCCATCTCTCAACCATCCAGCATCCGCTCTTAATCATTCAGTGATCTCTATGGGCTAAGCATTGACGAGAATTCTGAGTGCTCAAAGAAGTGGGGCCGCGTCCATGCCGGCCTGGATCCAACAGCTAATTGAGTGTCTGACAGAATGGGGTTCGTATGATGCTGAAGAAGCCAACGTAGCAGTCTGCTAACTTTCAGAAATGATCCATATGATTAACTGCATTTTTTCGCTGTCTCGTTATTTCTCTCAGCTCGCTGGCCGAACCACCAATACGCATCAGGTGTGGAACTGTTGGAAGCACTTCATGATGCAATCACGGCACCTATCTCTCTCGCAGAGCCACAACGCTGGTGCTGTTGCAAATAACGATACCAATTAATACCAACCAGCACTTAGGTGGTCTAATGCCAATATTTTGTTTCCAGAAAGAGAACCCCACTATGAGAATATCAACATATTGAAAACTCCGAAACGTAATTGAAACCCCGAAAAAGTATTTAAATCCCCAGGACCACAGGCTTCCCCCGGGCCTCTTCGTCTCTCTTTACTTTTTGCCTTTGCCCGCGCACACACTGCTTGTCTACTCCCATCCACGCCCAATATCTCCAACGTAGCAGAGCATGACCGCTACGATGCCCGAAAGTCTAGAAACCATCCAGTTCTTATTAAGAAAATCTAGATCATCTACATATGTGTCCGGCATCTATGTATCGTCCCGAACAAGCCACCGGCCTCTCTCTGGCATACACACTCTGATGGTCGCTTTCCCCTTACATGTAGCATCCCATCGAATTCCTATCACTTCAAAGACGTGAGTCCTCGGACCTTTGAGCTTTCGCGTTGGACAATGAGACGGATACGACGTTCCAGTGCTTTTCGACCTATTTCAATTTGATTTATTAGATTGAGCCACCGGTACAGAATTGGATCTCTCCATTGTGTCCGTAGGGTAAAAAAGGGAACTTACATCCTTCTCACATTCATACCCTAACAATTTCGGCGCGAGCCCAGGATCTCTCCACGCCAACGCCTCCCCTTCCTCGGTGGGCTGCATGCGCATCCTGCGATCCCGCTCCTCCTGCTCCGGCCCGTCGTGCAGGTGATACAAATACTGCTGCAAGTTGCTGCGTGAGACAATCATCTGCGTCCGCGACTTGCGACACGTTTCGTACACCGCTAGCGCATGGCGTTTTTGCGCGAGGAAGGCAGGTGACTTTTTGTCGATGTTGGGCGAGTTGGGGAGGCGGGATAGGCATTCTCCTAGAACGCAGCCGTCTTCGAAGGACATGCCGGCGCTGTGGGGGTGGATTAGTGTTAGGGATATTCTAGGTTATATATATATATGTGTGTGTGTGTGGTTTTGGTTCGGGAATAAGGTGCTATTAGTAAATCATATTTACCCCGATGCAAGATAAGGGAGAGTGGCGTGCACTGCGTCCCCGAGCAGAGTCCATGAGCCTGATGGATGAGACCAGTCATGTTCACCCAGGCGGTAGCAGAGGCGCCATTTGTAGACGGATTTGCAAAGCCTAAGGAGTTTCTCGATTCTATGGGGTTTACGGGTTAGGAGGAAGAGGAGGTAAATGTTTTGGAAAAAATCTCAGGCAAGCAACTTTTGACGCACCTTGGATCCCAGCCTTTGAATGCTGCACACATCTCTTCTACGTTGCCTTCTACCGTTGAAGCGCCGTCGTCGGGAATATCGTCCGGTACTAGGAGAACCATGTTGAAGAGCTCACCCCCTCGCAGGACATAGTTCACTATCCGCAAAGTCACCATCATATATTCTCATGAAAGCCAACACAAATCATAAGGGCCATGAGTTACCTGCATGCGCGTCGGGGCCCAACCAATAATTGACCTGCGGCTCCTCCACAAACGGCCTCAGCTCCGGATCCTTCATCATCTCCTCCGTCGACAGCAGCAACCGATACGCCAAATCCCCCGTCTTAGTTGGCGGATTCGGTCTCCCCAGCAGGATCTCTGACAGCCGACTAAACACCCCGTCAGCACCGATCAGCAAATCCCCCTCCTCCCTCCTCCCATCCTCCATAACGGCCGTCACCGTCGTCCCGTCCGCACTCACAACTACATCCACGACCTTAGAATTGCACTGCAGCACGCCGCCGAGCTCAATCGCCCGCTCCATGAGGCACTTGTGCAGCGACGCGCGGTGGAAATCGCCATACCATGTCCCCGGGAACCGGGACTGGGACTCGTGGAAGTTCATCGAGGAGATGATTTCACCCTTCCAGTGGCGGAAGTTGCACTGGCGCGGCCATGTGGCGTATTTAAATAGCCGCTCCGACAGGCCCCAGGAGGTCAGGACGCGGGAGCTGTTGGGAAGCACTTGGATGCCGGCGCCCACCTCGCCGATCTGGTGGGCGGATTCGAGAACTTTGACGCTGTGGCCGGCGAGGAGGCACGCGATGGCGGCACCGAGGCCACCGAGGCCGGCACCGACGATAACGACCTGAGCGGGTTTTTGTTAGAAGGCGATATTGTTTGGTTTCTTGGAGGGTTGAAGAGCGAGGGGAGGGAAGGATAGGAGGGAGTTGGGATAACGAACCTTTAGTTTACAGGATTCCTCGCGGTGTTGCACATGTTTGATAGGTATGGGAGACATGATTGCACGGAGATAGAGCGCTACAGGTCCTGGAAAAGATGTTTTTTCAAAAACTCCTGTTCACGTTACTCCTATCATCCGTTTCTGAAGATCCGACAAACCAGCAACCGGAGGGGCGGGATTTCCCAATTTAAAAAAATAAACCCACTTGCCACGATACCTGTAGCCTCCAACGGCAAGCAAAACAGGCCTGGCAGGGCAAGTAGAGTTTTATATTAGATGCTTTGGCTAAACTGTAGCTCCTAACGCCGCTTAAGGGAAGATAATATCTTAAAAGCAAAAACCCTCTTTGCTTCCTCTTGTCAGCTTTTTGTTCCCTAACTAAGCCTTCCGGAAAGAGAGCGCGCGCCAACCTTTGGGCAAGCTTGCTCGATTTGCCAGCTCACAGCCCGCCGTGGCCATATCTCGACAAGCCACAACTGTGCGGGCAATGATCCGTGGTAATTAATGCAGGTGTTCTGCTCGCCCACGAATAAGCCCAGACAAGGCAACGAGAGAGTGGAGGTTAACCCGCTCAAAGAAGATACGTAGAGTAAATATCGTACAATACGGTACGGTACATACATACGTAGCTTACACTTTTGGCAATGCGTTTGCATGCATACGGCCGATACGCACAGATCCAAGAATGGGGGAGGGGGGTCTGTATGTAATTTACACCCGAATACCAACCCCGCAAAATCGAACTCTAATTAAGCTTGAACTTGTATGACGTCGCTGCTGGTGCGGGGAAGTTAATGGAGGAAGTAGTAGGATAGCCGGGGCAAAAACAAAACAAAAAAAAACACTAGAATAAAAAAAACTAATCTACGGACTTTCTTAACTAATCACACTCTGATAGGATCGCTATCGCTCCAAGCACGGTCCAAGTTAAGTTTGTTTTGTATGGACGGTCAATTCAACGGTGGCGTCTTGAGAATCTCCCCTCGTGGCGCTGGCATCTTTGCTCCTGCTGGGGCGGGATTTTTGCTCTTGAAATCGTCCGCCATTTGTTCGAATGTCACCCATTCCACCCCCTCGTGCTTGTTAATGTGCTCGATAATGCTGTGGGAAAATGCATGTTGTCAGCGTTCAGCAGGGACAGAAACATAAAATAAAACAAAATAAAAATAAACATTACCGTTCATGCATGAGTAGTACATGTGGCCGTCCAGAGACGTCAGGGTGAATCGTCATAGGGAAGATAAACTCATCGTATTCACGGTAGAAATAGTCGAAATGGTCCTGTACAAACAAGGCGTTAGATACTGACCAAGATCTTCCCGCCGGTGCTGAACCGGAAGGGGAGGAGGGGGAGGCAAGAGAAAACCACCTTCCAAATATCCTCTATATCCCTCGGATTCGTCCATCCATGACTATTCGGTGAGTTTTTAATAAACATCATCGGCGGCAAATCGTCAATATACCAGCTCCCCGGGATCTCCACAAGTCCCGTCTCCTGGCCCTTTACCAACGGCTTCATCCAGTCTTTTGCCTTCTTCGTATAATCAATCTTTGTCCATGTATCTCCCGTCCGCAGCCAGTACATCTGGCAATCATGATGCGCCATCGAATGGTCATATTCAATGCCGTAGCGGAGCAGCAGGTCGGTGCCTTCAGCGCTCGTCTCCCACCAGGGCGCAACGATGCCCCTGGGTGGCTTGCCGCAAAAGTCTGTCAGGAGGCGGTAGGTCTTGTCGAGGACGTCGCGTTGCTGTGCCGGCGTCATGTCAGACGGGTTCTCGTGGGAATAGCCGTGGAGACCGATTTCGTGACCCGCATCGCGCACCATGGCGCATTCTTCTGGGAATGTTTCCAGGGAGTGTCCCGGGATGAACCAGGTGGCTTTGATATTGTATTTGTCGAAGAGTTTCAGGAGGCGGCGGACGCCGATTGTGCCCGCCCAGAGGCCTGCGAAGATGTGTTAGAAGAAGGACGTAGCCAACATGCAGAGGGTGGAATGGGGCTGTTGGGAGTAATCTCTCTGGTTTTACCTCGACTGATATCGTTTGTGCTATCTTCACCACCGTACGACCCAAGCCAGCCAGCGACAGCATCGATGTCAACGCCGTAGCCCACGAGAACTCGCTTTTTACCCATCACGCTGGTTCGTAGGAGATACACGTCGTACTGCAGATATGTTTAATGCAAAAGAATGTATAATTTCCTTCAAGGATGAACTCAGAGCTAGATATAAGATCCTATCAACGCAGTATTAGTAGAAAGAATCCTTGGCTGCAAAAACCAATTACTCTGTGCCAACTCTTGGAACAAACAGCACACTTTGAATACACCCCTAGCGGGCCATCCAGATGTCGCTGTTTGAGCATCAGTTTCAAGAGGAGGGGGAACACTGTGGCCTTCTGCGGCGACGATAATTGATTAGGGCTTAGGACTTGGGCTGGTCGAGAAGTGGGGGTATGGTTCAATGGCTGAAGCGCCCCGCAATCGGTGCATCATTTGTCAAATAGTTACGTCCACGGCATACTGCGAGACGTCGATGGAATATTCGTTATCCGTTGCAGCTCCTCCTCCGTAGTGCCGGAGGTGGATTGCATTGTGGAAAGAATGAAGCCTTCCGTGAGACTTGCTCGACATAGTATTTGATGACGGCACGACGAGGGGCAGCTAGCTTCCCGGTCTTTGAATACTTCTGGATACTAGTAACTTAGTAGTTATCACTGTGCCGGACAACAGACAGCAAAAACCACACCTGTTTGCACCTTAATCTTATACAATCGCTGTTCTTCCGCTGCCGTTTCTGCTTCAACCACCTCAATTATGTCTAGAGTAAGACCCCACCAATTTCCTGAATTCCCCTTCACCAGCCGTGCCACCTCATCCGTAAAGACACTACCATGCCTAACTAATGTAATTCAAAATAATTAATCCAGTTCTCCCTTAAAGGTCGTACGGCTCTGGTAACAGGTGGTGCACGAGGCTGCGGTCTATCCTTTGCTGAGGGCCTCGCGGAAGCTGGAGCAGACGTTGCTGTCTTCGACATAATAGATCAGACCGAAGGCTTCCATAGTATCGCCAGTAACTATGGCGTCAAAACTGCGTTCTACAAGTGAGACATATCCCTAAAACACCATTAGAAGTCTACTAATTCCCCCAATGATGTCCCAAAAAAAGTAAAATGAATAAAACGGAATAACTAACGAGAAGTCACATCCCGTCCCGCCAATTTCAACTGCAACACAGAGTCGATGTCAGCTCCAAAGAGTCCTTAGAAGCTGGCTTCGCCCAGTTCAGCGCAGACTTCGACAACAAGCTGGACATCTGCGTGCCCTGCGCGGGCATAAACAGACATCTGCCGTTCCTAGAATACACGTACGAAGCGCACAGGGAGTTGCTGGACACAAATGTCATGGGGCTGTTCTTCACGGCGCAGTTGGCGGCGAAGCAGATGATTGCCAACGGGACCAAGTGCGGCAGTATCGTGCTGGTGGCGAGCATTGCGAGCTACATGGCGATTAAAGATCAGAATAGCTCAGCGTACTGTGGGAGCAAGGGTGCGGTAAAGGCTATGTGTCCGGCTATTGCGAAGGAGTTGGTGCCTTATGTATGTTATTCTCTCCTTTTTCTTTTTCCTTTTCCCTCCCTCTTTTATGCTCAATTTTGGGACAATGGAAGCTGATTTCGTTTAACTATTTACTACTCACGCAGGGTATCAGAGTTAACTCGGTATCTCCTGGATATGTTCGGACAGAGATGACAGCTGCAGTAAGTCGATTCAACCGGTCATTTCCTCAGTCAGCCCATGCTGGATCTAACGTCTTTTTGATAGTTCTCTCATCTCACTGAAAAGTGGAAGACCGACATCATGAACCATCGGTTGGCGGAGCCTGATGATATTAGAGGTGCTTGTGTGTTCCTGGCAAGTGATGCTAGTTCATATATGACTGGGCAAGATATTTGCGTGGATGGCGGCGTCACGAAGTGGTAGCAAACGGGAAAGATGGCATGCGTATGGATTCAGGTGGAAGTTATGGCTAGACCACGGATGATTTGAAGACTTATTCTTCAGCCTGGTTTGCTGTTCTGCTTTAAATTGCTTTGCTTTCTTTCTAATTTCTCCATATAGCCACTCTACGATGAAACAGGCTCTTCCAACTCTTAACTCACATCCCCTTCCCTTATCATAGTCTAATACATATTCAAAAGCCAACTCTACACTCCCCGCAAAACCTTTTCAATCACCACAGCTGCACCCAAGACCTTCTCCTCCTCCAATTTCTTCCCCACAATCTGCAGATTAACTGGATATCCCGCCATCGAGTCAGCATCATACAATCCCCAATTCCACTCATCAAGCTCGTTCCGCGGCTCATAAGGCGTCACAGGAAGTTTATCCTTCTCCTTGCAAACCTTGCCAGCAGGAAAGGTCAGCGCCGTGTAATCCAAAAAGTTCCACACCTTCGTATACCCAACCCAGCGGCAACAACGGTGCGGCACAGCAACATGCGGCATGGTCGGCGTAAGCAGTACATCCACCGTCCGATTCGACGAGGGCGCACGCGTCCGGTTCCATTTATCCAAATACCCCTTCTGCACCGCGACCTTGCGCCTGTTCAGCTGCCAGTACTGGTAGACGGAGATTGCCTTGCCCTTGTTCACGAGCTTCTCGACGTGCGGGAGGAACGGCTCGCCTGCAACCATGACGTCGTTGCGGATATCTTCGCCGCCATCCACGGTGTAATACGCGTCCATGATATCGACACATTCTTGGTGACCGTCTGTTTTCCAGGGGATGACTTCGTGGCCAGCGCCTTGGAGTTTGGCGGATAGTTCGTGCAGAGCGCGCTGGATTGGTGGGTGGACTTTTACGACGCCGTCGTCGACGATGAGGCCGATTATCAGAGGGCGGGACTGGATTTCGGTGAATATCTCGTTGCGCCAGGGGAGGGGGGCGCAGCGTGGGTCGAGCGTCCATGGCTGCGAGTTGGCGAGGTGTTTGGTAACGTATATTATCGAGGGGAGATCGCGTGTCATGGGGCCTACGGAGGATGGGACGTGTTCTTGACCCTCCGTCGAGACGGGGACGCCATAGTAGGGAAAGCGGCCGCTCTGGTTAATTTGAGTTGTTAGAACGCAGATATAGGCGGTGGGCTAGGTGGTGAGTATGAATCGATGAACTTACACTCGGCTTCAGCCCATATAAGCCTACCATGTTCTGGGGAATGCGAATACTGCCGCCAATATCCGTTCCTATTCCTAGAATTGAGCCATGGAGGGCCAGTAACGCATTCTCTCCTCCCGTCGAGCCTCCAGAGGTAAATTTAGAGTTGCGTGGATTCACCGTCAGGCCGAAAAGGGGGTTTTCAGTTTCACACCACTAGAGCCGTGTGTTAAAAGCGGGACTCTGGTTTGATAGCAAATCAACATTATTATTCACAGCACATACGTACCATGATACTCTGGCTTAAATTTGTCTTTGCGATGATGATAGCTCCCAGGCTTTTCAGAATCTGCACCAGAACGGCATCTTCTGCCGCCGGGCAGAATGAACGCCCTACATATCCCAGTGTCGTATCGACACCTTTGATGTTAAACTGGTCCTTTAACGTGACGGGCACTCCATGAAGCGGTCCCCTGACCTTCCCTGTTGTTTTGAACGATCTGTCGAGTTCCCTGGCTTGCTCAAGTGCCTCTTCGAATACTATTTCGGTGAGAGCATTCGTCTACATGCATACGATATTCCCCCGCTCGTTGGGAGAATTTCTATCAGCGACGGTAGCTCATTTCAAATGTGATATACCATCGCAGGTACTAACCAGTTGATGTGCGACCGTTGCTCTGTGATTCTGGGTCAGAGATGAAATCCAGAAGAGAATGAAAAATTATCCCTCTTTAACGTAAACGTTAAGCGCGAGGGGCTTCGGATAAGAAGAGCAAGTCGAACCTTTTGATGTATGCCAGCGTGACATCCTCAGCAGTGAATTCTCCCCGGCAAATGGATTCATGCAGTTGCTCAATGCTGTCGATTTCAGTGATGGCCTGAGCAGCCTGAGGTTCAATGCGAGATCTATCCGCAACATTGGCCACTCTCTCGGACCTTAGGTGAATATCTTCGACGAGATAGGGCTTCAATGCCGCATCCCTGAGCCGCCTTTTTTGCGCGACGATTTCCTGCCACGGTTCCAGAGCACCCATTGTGTCTGACTGCGACTAGTTTCCTGTGGTCTGGTTTATCTCAAGTTTGGCATCAGGGCCCCATAACCCATACTATGAGGACCAGATTCATCTGAGCTCCAGCATTGGGATACCCGTCCCAATCTCGGGCGCGTGCGGGGACTCATATTTCCATGTCTACTACAAAGATGCGATACGAGATGGGCGAAATTGCCGAGGCAGCGTGAACCCGAAGGATCATGTATGTATTGTTAGCTGTGTATGGTATGTAATGATACGGCTGCATATCGTTACGGTTATGACCGTGTAATGGCCTGGTATTGCCGTATCCAAAAATGGGGGTGGTTTCTTAGATTAGATTTAGCTTCACGACGACAAAAAGGGCTTAACTAAATCGTCCCCTGCTTCCGGCGCCTCTTAGCGCCAACCGCCACTGCTGTCGTGGGTCGTGGTCCGCTGCGAGCAACCCGAATTTACAGAACAGCTGCGGGCAATTACAGTGAGCAACAATCTTCTCGGACAACGGCAAACTGGAAGTGGGGAGACCATGACCTTCGTTCCTGTTGAGGCAAGTTGGAGTGCAGAAACCCAATAGTATAGCATGTGGCGTGATCATCTCTGGAGGATTACTCGTTTGAATATATTCCGACAAGTTGCTTGCGTTCTTCTATCATGAAAAGAGCGCATTCAGTAACTCCTCCAAGAAAACTCAAGATGGGACCCAGCGCTGATGGTGTAGGATTCATGGACGATCATGGCGGCCTGCACACTCCGCCACCAACCACAACGGTAGCAGTTGTGGGTGCAGGTCCGTCAGGACTGATGCTTGCGTATGTGAAAATTTATCATTCGTTTAGGCCACCCTCTCTTCAACTTTTCTACGCGTTGGAGGTCTAGATTGTTCATGGTCTTGACACTGACGGGAGGAAGACAGATCAAACCTAGTCCGATACGGAATCAAAACTACTATATTGGATGACAGGCCAGACAAAACATCGACGGGCAAGGCTGATGGAATGCAACCAAAAACCATCGAAACTTTCAAGCAACTCAGACTTGCTGATGACCTTCTGAGAAAAGGAGTGAAAGTCTACGATATATCTTTCTGGGTGGGTTTCATATAGCTGCGACACTCTCCAAGAAACCAATGGACATTTTATTTTTAACATTTCCCCTAGGAATCTACGGTGGACAAGCCTCTTCACCGGACTAGTCGCCAGAGCCATTACCCAGACCATGTCGGGGCGTCAAATCCATTTGTCCTTCTAGCGCATCAGGGGATGATAGAGGATGTTCTGATCCAAGACATGGAGCAGCGCGGCGTTTTTGTTTCGCGCAGCAGTCCGTTCATCGAATGTTCAAGATCAGCTGCAGACGGGAAAATGCATGTTATCTATGAAGACGCCACGACCAAGGTACCCCAGACTATGGAGGCAGATTATCTCATAGGATGTGACGGTGCACATTCGAAAGTTAGACCCTTCATACCCGAAGCCAAGTTGATTGGCGAAATGACCAATGCGTCGTGGGGAGTGTTGGACGGTATGTGACATGTCTGATATCCGTGTATAACTCCTTTTATTGTCTTTCTTCTAACGAAGATGGTGTCAATTAGGTGTCATTAACACGGATTTTCCGGACCTGTGGAGCAAAGTTGCTGTCCGTACACATCATGCTGGTTCCATTCTCTGGATCCCGAGGGAGCGGAATATGACCCGCCTGTATGTCGAGCTCAGCTCGACAGAGGGTAATCGGATGGATAAATCTCTTGCCACGCCAGAATATGTCATCAGCAGAGCCAGGCAAGCGATGGCACCGTATACTTTGGAATGGAAGAGCATTGGTTAGGTTTTCGATCCCCAGCACCCCGAAGATCAAAAGCTAACTCCAAGAAAATAGAATGGTTTGGTAATTACGTCGTCAGCCAGCGAGTTGCCAATCACTTCGCAGATGCAGAACTACAGATCTTTATCGCTGGAGATGTGAATTCCTCTGTCCCCGATACGTCATTTCCTTCCACTGTACTAACATACCCAACTAGGCCGGCCACTGTCATTCTGCCCTTGCGGCCCAAGGCGCCAACACTAGCATGCACGACAGCTTCAATCTTGCATGGAAGCTCAACCTGGTAGCACGAGACCTAGCCCCCCGCTCCCTCCTTGCCACATACGAAGCGGAAAGGAAGAAAATCGCCCAAGACCTCATAGATTTCGATGCCGGACACGTCAAGGCATTCAGCGAAGGCGACGAGGCCCTGACACGCAACTTCGACGAGAACATCCGCTTCATCTCCGGTGTCGGAGCAGAATATGCGCCCAACATCCTCAACCAGGTGAGCTCCGCGCCACAGCTGCCAGGCTCATCCATCAACATCCTGAAGCCCGGCGCCCTCCTAACGCCCGCACGAGTCACCCGCTTCATCGACGCAAACCCCGTTGACATCGAGCTCGACATCCCACTCCTCAGCCAGTTCCGCATCTACATGTTCACCCCGAGCCTGCAGGCAGGCACAGCGTTCTTGGAAAGTCTGTGCAACTACATCCAATCACCGACATCCTTCCTCTCGCGCGCCAGCATGCGTGCTAACAAATCTTACGCTGTTAATCCACCCCCCGTCGGCCCGCTGGATGAATTCGCTCAGTTAGACAGATACACGCCCGTGTCCAAACTATTCACGTACGCGCTTGTGACGCGGACGGCGAAATGCGATGCGGAAATTACCTCGTTGCCCGCGTTGTTACAGGCGAGCCGGTGGACTTTCTATCTTGATGATGTCATTCCTGGTGGCGGCTGCACGGAGAAGTGGCTGGGTAAGGTGCCAGGAGATGAGGTTGCGATTGTCAATGTTCGACCGGATGGCTATGTGGGGAGTATTTGGAGGTGTGGAGGTGTTGGACAGAATGGGGAAGCGGGGATAGATCTGGGGAGGAAGGCGGGTAAGTGGTTAGATGAGTATTATGGGGGTTTCTTGAAAGGGTGAACGAGTTGGTTGGCAACGTTGTCTTACTTATTTTCCCTTTTTTGCAAAATTTTGAGCATGACTAGACAGGCTTTGGTGTGTTTTTGCTCCCTAAACTAGTTTTCATCCTTAATATAACGTGCTTGAACTTTCGTATTTTTCTCGTATTTTGCCAACAGTCTTTCCTCTCGCGATTTACACCGTGAACAAAAAAATATAAAGTAATTAAGAAGCAAAGCAGGAAGGGGCATAGAAGAAACAATTGTAGAAAGTGATATTATAGGAAAGGATTCAGAATGAAAGAAAAGTGGACTTTTTTGTAGAATCGAAGATCATATATGTATAGCAGTGGATAATTCTCTGATCTCTGGAGTTGGAGAGGATAAGTGGTCAACATGCCTAGCCTCTATGCACAACCATTATCACCAGAAATGAGGGTGTTATGAAAGTACTGAGAGAGCCCAACTGCATATACATTCTCTCAAAACTTAGCAACATTTTTCTCATTTTAAATCTTTTTGATTTTATTTTAGTATTTCTTGATTTTTTTATATTTAGAGAATACTATAACAGTATCTGACAACACGCTGATTCTATTATAAATTGATCCGTTTATAAAAAATTATATGTGTGCTTAAAAGTAGACTTTGTAAATCCGGCAACTTTCGACTGAGAGAACGCTGATTTTGAGAATACAGGCGTCGCTGCTCAGAGATTCTGGTGGCAGACAGAGGAAGAGGGTGATATGTTGGTCAATACAATTTCTGAAGGCAGGCTGTTCTTCAATCTGATCTAGATCTGCTGTCTGTCTCAACAAGCAGCATAGCTCCCAAGGAAAATGTAGACGAGCAAATGTGGACGCGAGGAAATGTTACCAAGATCACAGAATGGAACAACATCAAAGCTGGCGGGGCCCGAGGGAACTTGGAGTAACCAGTCATTCCAGAGTGGACATTGAAGCTGAATATTGGCGTAAGAACTGTGAACCTCCTCCGGCTGGCAGTGAACGAACTGGGTTCAAACCCACCAGGGATCGAGCTTTGAAGAAGTGGTTAGCACAAGAGTCCACGGCCATCCCAGATTGGTGATTACAACTATCTCCTTCTTCTCTTTACATTTGCAGTTTGCATGAGAACCGTCCAGATGCAGTCTGTTGAAGCTGAAACTTGGCGGCTGCCTTGGTCGGAAAATTGATTTTGCCGATAGCTTTTCGTAACAAGTCGAGCGAGCGTGGGAAGTCAGCATCGTGGGGATCCTGCGCCATGGCGTCCGTCAGAGTGAGAAATACATGTACAAATCTCTTAAGTTGGGGTACCCCACCTTCAGCATTGCCCATCGTACACCTTCAGACTTAGCGGAAGTTTCTCGGGCCTACATCACTTTACCACGATGACTGACGATGGTTCACTAGATTACAAGGCTCTCTTCCACGCAGCAGAGGAGGGACGAAGACGGGCAGAGGAGCTACGGGGAGAGGCAGAGAAACTCCGAAGGGAGGCAGAGGACCAAGCGAGACAGGAGAGGGCGCGCAATCAACCTACAACGCTCTGGGAATTCATGAAGGCTTGTCATGATTTACTCTCTCGGCCTCTAAAAGTCGGAACGCTATCTCACTCCACTAAAGGGAACATTCCACCACCCACTGGGAAATATTGCCCAACAAAACTTTGTCTGTGGTCAGATTGTCCTACACAACAGCAAGAAATCTACAATGTTGTATCCACTTATCTGCAACCAGCTGCAGGAGAAGCACCTCAATTATTTGCCTCCTTTGTCGAGCTGCATGGCATCAGTCGGCGTTTCTCCCGTCGACAGTTGCGGAGTGAAAGAGATCTAGAGATCTACGAACGGATTGCAGTGGAAGACCATGTCCATGATATCATAGCAGAGCTATGCAAAATACCAGAAGCTCAGAAGAGATTTCAGCTTGGCGAAGGGGTCATGTTCGACAGCCATACGAATACCCTAGAAGACCCAGATGATGATGCAGAGCCGATGGATGAGTCCAGTACACTACATCCCAGGCCGGACCAATTTTGTATCCATCGAGTGGACAGCACCACTCGTGCCTTGCTTACCACGGTTGAGTATAAGCCTCCACATAAGCTCTCTGTTGAGAACCTCCGAGTAGGTCTTCGGCCAATGAAGTTTTGGGAAGAAGTTGTTCAGGCCACGATACCTCTTGATACAAACGAAAAGCTGAAGTACAACGCAGAACAGCTGACTGGAGCAGTTTTGACTCAAGAGTATCATGTTATGATTCAACAAGGACTGGAATACTCCTATATCACCAATGGATTTGCTCTGATTCTTCTCCATGTTCCGTATGATGATCCCAGTACACTCTATTACTATCTCTTTGAACCAAATATGGATGTGAATCCTGATGACCCTGATGCTTTCCTCCGGCCAAAAACAGCTATCGCCAGGGTGTTGTGTCTCTGTCTGATGAGCTTTTCTTCCCAAATCCGTAGTCAAACATGGCGGAATGCGGCAAGATCTCAGCTACATCTCTGGGAGACGAGTTTTGATTATATCCATTCAACGATTCCCAATGAAGAGCTGAAGCAAGTCCCTCCAGGCTCAGAATATGCAAGTTCAGAGGAAACAGCCTCTGAATATCTGCCATCTTCTCCATTGCAGTCTCCTCCGCAGCAAGGCCGCCGAGTCTCTACCCGATCCCAAGCTGGCTGTTCACCTATGGATAGAGCAGTTCTACGTGACCCTATGGAATCTTCCGACTCCGACTCTGGCCCAGCAACACAGAGTCGGAAGCGAAGTTTCGGCCAAATAATGTCCTCGCCATCTAATCGCTCATCAGAGCATCCAGCAGACAATAATAGCCCCTCAAGTGGCGAATACCGTCAGCACACAGAAATGTTCTGTACGCAGAATTGTTTATTGGGTTTGCAGCAAAAAGAAGGTCTATTGGATCGCCGTTGCCCAAATGTCCATCTTCATCAACAGGGGCAGAATGGCGATCGGCATCGTATTGATGCAGGGAAGCTAGTGCATCTATTGAAACAGCAGCTCGATCATGACTTAGATCATAATTGTACTCCGTTTGGAGAATGTGGATCGTATGGTGCGCCATTCAAAATCACTTGTGCTACATACGGCTACACTGTGGTTGGAAAGGGGACAACATCCCGGCTTTGGAAACTTGTCTCACGCGAAGCAGAGATATACCGAATTCTTCAGAAAGCACAGGGTTCAGCGGTCCCTGTGTTCCTCGGAGCTATCAACCTGGAATTAGTATACTTTCTCCACGGTGCCGGAGAGATCCGCCATATGCTGCTCATGGGCTGGGGCGGGGGCGATTTAAGAAATGCCAATGGCAGCCCAACACTGCACCGTGAGATCTCTCGGTCGAAAAAGGAAATCCGTATGTTGGGAGTCGTGCACGATGACTTACGGAATGCCAACATGTTATGGAATGATGAACTGGGTCGGGTTCTGATTATAGACTTTCACCGGTCTCACATAGACTGCCGGCCCAAGGAAAAGCGGATTGGGTCCCTGAAAAGGTCTCTTGATTGGGGCAGGTCGAAACGACAACGCCTGTCTCCATGTAAATGACATTGGATACCTGGTTGATCCTAGCCATGCACAATGGTGAAATTCTTGCCCCTTTTCCCCCCGAGTTAGGCTCGAGTAGAAAGGGGTCACGGTGCAGCATTGAGGTGGATATCCACCCCATGGGCAGCACGAGCATCATGAACCACATATATGCGTTTTAGCTTGGGAGGCTGTCTATGTGCGGGAATTCACTGGCTCACAATATGTATGAGAGGATTTTTAGAGCACTGGCTGCGGAGCGAATAAAATTGATATTGGGAGCTTTGATCCAACTCTCTCCTAATTTATCCGCAGCTTATCTAGCCATTTCGGCTCGCTACAGGATGTTCATACTATAGAGAGGCGTTTTCAGACAATAATAAATAGCTTGAAACATCTCAAGAGAAATATCCTGAAAAGAAAGGATTGAATGAATGTGAGGACGGGGTGTATCCGATGTATGTAGCAATCTAACTTGCTAACCAAGCTCAGTATTCAAACAGGACGCCCTTCGAGGCGCTCACTGATTCCTGGCTTCAGAAGCAGTTCTAATGCTGATCACTCCAGTATATAGGATGATGTCGCAATCATTAATATTGGTAGTGGCGGAGAAGGTGAAGTCCCGGCGAGAGCTTGGTGCTCAGTATTCTGGCGGAGTGGAGGGTCTTGCTTAACATGTGCGCTACGTACGGCTCGTCCACCCCCAGTTGGATTACGGACGAGTGTCTTGACTCGGCTCTCTTGAGCTATTTTTACGGTTCTGATCTACCGGGAGGCTGGATTGTAACCGAATTTTCATCAATATGTATGTACATATATCCAATTTCGTCTTTTAACTTTTTCACCCCTATTGGTTTGAACTTCAATCCGGCTTCTAGTTGTGATGAAACGTCAATAAGTACTTCTCTGGTTTCATGAATTATAATACCAACATCACAAGGTGGACCATGTTGCTGAGGGACTGGCTGGGCTATAGTTAGCTTTGTTCAGAACCTTAAAAGCGTTCACCAATGGCGGATTACAGTATCTCAATTTGGATATATATCCCTTAACCTCATTTCTGCACTGAGACCACTTTCCATAACCAAAATAATCAAGCAAGAACAAAATCCTTCCACATATAATAGCACAACTAAATGAAACAAATATACGGTCGTACCATGAGATAGATATCTCAAGAAATGGCAACAAAAAAAGACTTCTGCCCCTCCCCCTTCGCGACATTCCCCATCTTCACTAGTCGATCTCCAACCGCCAACCTCAACCTTTCCGCCGTCGCCGGACTATCCAATATCAGCTTCTCCTTCACTCCATTATCCTCTCGAGCACTGAGCAGCGCATCTCTCAGTGCGAATAGGACCGTCGCGCCCAAAAACAGTGGTGGCTCACCAACACCCTTACTACTCTGGATAGACCGAAGGTGTTTCCACGACACCCCCTGCAAGAAACTAACATTGAACTCCTGTGGGATATCACTAAACCCAGGGATCTTATATGTGCCAGGGCCACGTGTGGCTAGCTGGCCGGTCTTGCTGTGCCAGAGGGATTCTTCGATGGTGAAGAGACCCTGCCCCTGAACGAAGGCGCCTTCTACCTGACCGTAATCAATGGCTGGATTGATTGAACGGCCCACGTCCATCTTTATGTCAGTACGGAGTACGGTATGATCTCCCGTGAGGACGTCAAGTTCAACTTCAGTGCAAGCAACGCCCTAGATACAAAACGAAGTCAGCCACTTACCATTCGTGACGAGGGGAGAGTATATGATGTGGCACATACCTGGGTAAAATAATAATACATTGGCTTGACAGTTTCCGGATTGTAATCGCCCCATACATGACCGATCTTGGGCATCTTCCAATATCCAGTCGCTACGAGATTCACCCGATCTCTATACGCTGCATGCGCAATTTTCGAGAGCGGAGCATCCCTGCCAAACTTTTCCCAGTACGGCTTGAGACGCTCGTTGAGTTGATCACATGCATTCTTCACAGCCATACCATTAAGGTCACTGCCAGACGAGGCAGCCGTAGGCGAAGCGTTAGCAATTTGATATGTTGCCGTGTCCTGGGTGTAAATGGATTCCAGGGGAGCGTTTAGTTCCTGAGCGGCGACCTGGCACATCTTGGTATACAGACCCTGACCCATTTCCGTTCCTCCGTGGCTGAGAAGGATCGAGCCATCTGCATATATTTTAACGGATGCACCAGCCTGGTTCAGATGAATTGCTGTCGCGAATGAGAGACCGAATTTTGTTGGTACAAGGCAAATGCCTCGCTTCTTCCACTTGTTTTGGGCATTGTACTTGGCGATTTGGGCCTTGCGCTCATCATACTTCGCTTCCTTTCGGACTTGCTCGAGCAGCATCGGAATATGCCAATCCTCATCGATCAATTGATGGAAGGGCGTCCGTTGACCCTGCTCGTACAGGTTCTTCCAGCGAAGCTCGTCGATTGGGATGTTCAGGCCCTCTGCGATGGCATACATGAAACTTTCAGCGATGAACATGGCTTGCGGTCCGCCAAAACCTCTAAAAGCGGTATTTGTAACTGTGTTGGTTTTGCATACCCATGCACGAATATGTGCATTGGGGAAATAATAGCAGTTGTCAAGATGCGTGCAACAGCGGTCCATGACAGCTCCGCTCATATCCAAGGAGAACCCAGCATTGGCGTAGCAGTCCGCATCAATGGCGACAAGTTTTCCATCGTTCATGACACCAATCTTCCAGCGGCACATAATGGGATTTCGCTGTCCGGTCGTCATCATATCTTCGTCGCGGTTCAACATGGCTCTCATTGGTCGTCGTTCTTTCTTCGCGGCTACCGCAAGAATAACAGCTAGCTGGACGCTTCGAGACTCTTTGCCACCGAACGCTCCTCCCATCCGTTTTACTCTTGCATTGATACGGTTGCTAGGGACTCCAATCACACGACTGACAAATTCCTGTGTCTCCATCCTACGAAACCGTTAGTGGCTAGAATATCATACATTACAGAGCAACATCACTCACGTATTTTGAGTGGATGACCAAACATCCATTGTGCCATCCTCAGAATGGGGGATAACTAAGGCAGCATTCGTCTCCAGGTAGAAGTGCTCCTGGCCACCGCATCGAATAGTTCCTTCGAAAATTCTGTCACATTTGGCAAACACCTCAGCCATTTTCTCAGGGGGTGCCCCTTTTCGAAGTTCCTTTCCATGTTTGAAGAAGCTCTTCGCTTCGATGGCTTCGTCAATGGTCAAAATAGCTGGCAAGTCCTCATATACGACTTTAACAGCCCGTGCTGCTGCCTGTGCTTTAAGGGAAGTTTCTGCGTAAACCATTCCAATTGGCTGGCCATGGGAGTGAACCTCGTCGAGCGCAAAAAAAGGTTCATCTTTAACAATAGATCCCCAAAAGTTCATTTCTGGGTCGATGCTATGTTTGTCCACGTACCCCACAGCTAAGCCTGGAGCAAGAGCCGGAGTCCAGTCCACTGACACAATCTTTGCGTGGGCTCTTTCCGAAAGGACAAGTGCTCCATATAGTTCATTATCTTGATGAGGCATGTCGTCGACATATTCCGCCTCCCCTGTAGCGTGTTTCAAACCAGAAAGATGAGGTATTTGCTTGCCAACGATTCGTTGTTCGTGTGGGTTATAGTTATCTCTTGTCCCAGTAGATATTTTTCGGTGTATTTCCTCAACAAGGCTCTGGTCCACCTCTCCCAGTTCGAAATGCGCAATAACTTCGTTCCAAAAACGGACGAAAAGAGACAAAGCCAGCGTCCTTCGATAAGTAGCCATACTGCCTGGGACGTCATAGGCAAGTGGGAACTCCTCAGCTAAGGTTTCAAGAGCACCGTCAAGAGTTTCCGGTGCGGACCATTTCTTTCCCATCAGGTACTTTATGGTTTGAGTTGCCAAAACAGTTATTGGTGCCATCCCGCCATATGCCAATGAGACATCCTTAACGATATCTTGTTCGTCAAATCGAACTCGGAAACCTGCCGTGACAATAGCAATGTCATCGTCCTTTCGTTTGGCCTGTTTGTATGATTTTGTGACCTCGCGTGCATCTGCCGGGGGGATAGGAATGCGAATCTGAGTAATGATGCCTCCCTGCGGCAGCGCTGTTTTCCTGTACCCACGGAACATCGTTACCATTGGAATCAAATGCTCCTTCTCAGCAGTCCTAGAAACTACAGTCGCATTAATAGCCAAAAGAACCGGATTCATATCTGATATGGGGGATGCCGTGGCAATATTTCCAGCTAGGGATGCCACATTTCGAATCTGGCGCCCGGCAAAATATCTGAGAACTTTAGCCATCGCCCCGAACACTGATCCTCTTCGACCCAGCTTTGACGATAGGCCATAGCAAACATGTTCAATATCTGTCAAAGGTGCATTTCCACCAATCACAAGTTCACTCGAGGTAGACAGATCAGCGGGTACTGAAATTTTGTTAAGTTCTTCGATGTCCGAAACAAAGACTGAAACTGCAAATTCCGAGCCTTTAAATCGGATCTCAACCTGGATTTCGCTTGCGCCGCTGACAATAGTCGCGGATGGGAACGCAGCCATGATGTCGACTAATTGCTGTAAATTCGTCGGTCGGAGCCATATTTTCTCTTTATCACCGTAGCATACAGGATTATCGACAAACTTCGACAGCGAAGGTGGGTAAATTAACTCTGATGAAGGGGAATACTCTGCAAGCTCAACTTGGGGAACTTTTTTGGACGGCTGAAGCGTGATTTCTTCTGAAAGGCTGGTCTGGGAACTATGTTCGTCCGCAGAAGTGGATCCCGTTGATGTCGAAGAATCCGATGGACGGGATTCGTTGTTGATCTTATCGCGGCAACATCCCCCGGATCTGCCGCATGAGCCAGTTGAGGATTTGTGCACGTTGGTAAACTGCCCTTGTAGATACATCGCTGCCTCATTTTCGCTCTCCGTGTTAGCATCTACTGGAATAGAATTCTTCTCTTCATCCAGCTGCCCTTTTAGGTCCTCAACAATGAAAGTTTTAGCAGCTTGGAGAATAGGCTTGTAGCCTGTACAACGACACAAATTCCCATCCAGATGACCTTTCATTTCAATATCGTTATCAGATAGAGAGAATTTGCCGGTTTCCGGATCATAGGCATTTCTGATAATGGAGTATAGGGACATGACGATGCCTGGTGTACAAAATCCACACCTGCGATAAAAAGAACATTTAGTCCCAAAGAGCACAATTCCTGCCGGAATTGTTAGGATACGACTTACTGTGATCCATGAAGCTTACCCATCCGTTCCTGTAACGGGTGAGGCTTGTCAACACTCCCAAGCCCTTCGACGGTAATGACATGTTTCCCGACGACTATAGGATAACCTCTAGTTAGCAAAAAGACGAAGAAACCAGAAAAGAAACCCACCCAGTCAATCGTGCAGGAATTAAAATATGCAAGAAAAGTCACGAACTCACCCCCAACCAGCGGATACAGGCAAGCATTTACAGACAAGTGCTTGATTCTCCTTGAGTTGCTCCTGTCTCTCACCTGCAGCACCACGGTGCAGGCGCCGCAACCACCCTCACCACATCCTAACTTCGTTCCTTTCAAACCACGCTGTGACCTGATAAAGTCCAACAAAGTCCAGTGCGGATTAGGGTTTTGGAGCTCAACCCTGCGGCCATTCAGGTAGAACTGCAGAACCGAGCTGGTATATGTGGACTTGATAATTGCATGCAGTGCTGCATTGGCGGGGATGGAATCCACCTCCGAGTTTGATACAGGAAGCCCCATTGTGAATGGAGGATGATATACAAATCAAGAGAGACGCAAACAACGCCTACAAAAGCAGTGAGGGCAAGGAGTTCTGGTAATGTACGTGCATGAATGGTATCAATAAAAATAGCATAGCATGACCCTGAGAGATGTTGCCAGCAGGGCGCACCGGCACGGTTTTGTCACTGCCGCCAGAATGTGTATAACCGACGCAATCATAGCACGGGAAGTAGTTAACTACTAGGAGTTATAATTACACTGCGGGTTGGTTTAATTCCACCACCGCTAAAGTTGGAAAGTATCCACCGTAAGTTACTAAATAAATCTATATCCACAACGATATCAAACTCTAACTTGCCCTCACATCTACGTACTGCACCAACAGGACCGACCAATGCTTAAGGTACTTTTTACGTACATGATTTTATCCTACTCTTTTGCTCTATCAGAAAGCGACAAGAGCGAAAAGGAAAATATAAAGAGCTCAACATTGATTAATAGGGGTTATGTTAGTACCCACGATATTTAGTTCGTAAACCCGCATATCTATATATAGATCTGCCGTGCCTAATAAGCCAGTGTACTAGCAGTCTCGTGCAGGGAATATCAATTCTACGTACCAACTCTTTATTTAAAAAAAAAAATCTCTATCGAGTACTGAAATATATCAATATTCATATGATTCAGATAGCTAACATTAATAGGAAATAATCTAAATACACTTCCTTATTCAATATTCAGTTGACTCATTCTTAGTTCTAACAACAGTTTTCAGATTTATTAAAGTTTGTATCATTTTCTCTACCCTTAACTCAAAGATTAAAATAAAACATCAGCCTTACTACTGAGCTAAAGGGAGAAGATGCCCCAGAAGCTACCATGAATCTTGCCTTTAACCTACTCCCAAACACCCAGGCAGTTGCGTAAAACCTCATACCTACATGAGCTGTCCTTAGAATGCACACACCACGTAACGATACACTACGCCAGATGTATTTAAGCGGTGGTGGAATTAACCATCCTATGGTGTGCAATTGATTGTCAATCAATCCTCACAAACCCCCCGCTCCTTCCCCGCACCCCCACCCCTGTCCTCCCGGGTGTTTGGCGGGTGGTCGGTAACAATACGCACTTGTTATACTTCACGTATTTGATACGGGCTGTGTCAAGTATCGTACCATACGGGGTATGTCCAAAGGTGGGGGTTGTCCCAACTGAGCTGGTTAGGGTTTGGGGCTAGGGCTTAGGGCAAGCCTTGACCGGTAGAAATTCGCCCTCAAAAGGACCTGCATTTGATCGGACGTGTAGAGCTGTTCTGCTGGAAAGATGGCTGCTCTTCCAAACACTTGTTTGGTGGCAGGACCTTAACAGACATTCTCATCACGTACCCACCATTACCGCCCCTGTTTCTTCCAAGGAGTCATTTCCGCTTCACCCGTGGTTGAGTGCTCTGGTCCGGCCGAAGTGGAGCGTTGGCATTGGTAGCCATTTTATTCATGCCTCAAAACCCGCTCTTGGAGCGCTGTCGGGTGTCATGATGGCCAGTTTTCTTGCCAGCAAGCCCCCAAGGTGCCAAAGATACAGAGGAAGAGAGGCGTAGTATGGCCTCCAACATTTCTCGTCCAGCAACTTCAAAAGGGTAGCTTTATTTTTGAGGCGCAGAGGCATCAGGATTGGATTGGCTTCCAGTTGGGTCCGCGCAGGGGGTTGCTGGTAATAAAGGAAAAATGAAACAGATTAACAAAAAAATATCAAGACTTGGTTGATATGATGTCTTTGCGTTTTTTGTCTGTTGTACGATCGTTGCTCAACCTTGGACTCAAGGTTGCTTTCTTTCTCTCTCCTTCATATTCCCCACCCCGGGAAGAAAGAAACGGACAGCTATGAAAAGAAGGAAATTATTTTCGTCTTTCTCACTTGCCGCTTCGCTACCGTATCCATGCATACACAGTATGCTTTAACAATGGTCTCCTGCGCACCCCTAACAGATTCTGCGCTGTTCAAGCCGCACTCTTGCTCAGTGCACTTTGGATTGGGTATCGAGCTGTCGAAAGCGTTCGAGAGTGTCTACGTCCTTAATGGTCCAAGTGTGCAATATCATCCACAGGGAACCATGCCTTTCGATTGACAGCAGCTACTACACCCATCAGCCGATATGTACTATAACCTGGCGATATCAGGATAGGAGAGAGAGGTGGCCCTCTAGAATAGGGAAAAGGAAGACAAATTCTACAGAGAAAAAAGCTCTAATAAATATTTATACCCCCCCTCCCCCCGGACCTGGCCCCAACAAACAGGCAGCAGCCATGTCCCATACCCCCTAGACCTAGACAACAACTCCCCGATGCACCCCCGGACCATGGAGGAGATCCAGGAGCTTGTGGTAAAATACACAACGGCAGTCAGGAGGACGGTGGAAGCCGGCTTTGACGGCGTGGAGATTCATGCTTAGCTTCTGCTTCTTCCCTTCAATCCTGCGCTTTCGTTTTCTTTCCCTTTTCTCTTCTCATTTAACTCTTTTTTAAAACTACGCATTCGACCGCCCACGCAATTTGCAGAGAATCCCCCATCCCATTCCCAAAAATTGCCCCTCCCCTCGACCATCCCCTCCCCGACAACGTCAACATCCTTGGCGACGCTCCCAGTGGCCATCGGCACCCGCCCCTCTCCCTACCACTACTTCCCAAGATACCCGCGACTCAAACCGCCAGTGCCCAATGCGGCCCTGGTCGGGCTGTGCATGCAGATCGCGACACCCACCGGCCCGCGGTATTGCTGTTGAATGGATGGAGAGCGGAAGGCGGGAATGGGAAGGCAGGGAGGGCGGTGTCGGCTCCATTGGTGATAAGATAAATTTGATAAAAAAATTGGATCGTTAACGATATAGCTACAGTGCGCACTGAGCTCTCTCTCTCTCTCGTTGGTTTACACGAAATATGTCTATTTTATGCCATGGATGGTAGGTAATAATAATAAGTATAAAAAGTCTACATAATAACTTTCACTTTATCCGCCCATAATTGATGGTAATGTAATAAACAACAAATAATAAATACCGCGCCGCCATACCACGCTCAGATGCCAGCTGTTGTTAAAATACAAAGAAGCCAGCGACAAAAATTTCGTCATTGCAGAATTATATGTTTCGCCCCAGAAACCCGGTCGTATATCCAATAATGATAGGGAAAAGAAAAGTGCAAAACCTCTACAAACACAACCAAGAAAGAAAAAGAAGGAAAGAGGAAAAAAAACTTTCAGAGGATATATCAATGCAAAAACACCCCGCCATCCCCGACTGATCCCCGCCCTATAGTATAATGAACGAAGCCATTTTTTTTCTCGAGGATACAGCGCAATAGAACAAATGAAAGAAAAGAAAAAGTCCAGAAAAAGACAACTAGCAACTCCAGAATTCAATCTTCCAGCCACCCTACCTGCTCGATAAAGTCACCAAAACCTTCATTGCATCATGCACCACCGCCCAGCGTACACTGGCCAGCTGCTGGCTCATAATGCACGTCAATCCCGTCGTGTCGAACTTGCCCGCCAGCGAGGAGAGATCCTCCAACGTGTTACAGGTCGTCATGGCGATTACTAGGGTGGCCACTTCATTGCGGGGGTTTAGGGAGATAGAGCCAGGTATGCGCGGCGCGGGACTCGGATGCTGTAGTTGCTGTTGTTGCCCCTGTTGCTCGCTGTTATTATCATTGCTTATCTCCGTCCGTCTGACCAACGCTGTCGAGGAAGAGCAAGGGGAGCTTGATGACGTCGGGAGATGGAAGGCCCAGCACGTCAGAGTCGCCAGATACAGGCACCAGGGGTAATGGAAGACATCCGTCTCGTCCCAGTCGTTAAGATTCATGATTGCATCCTGCAGGATGTACGAGGCATGCCTGGTCGCCTTGGCTGCTGAGTGCGGGTCCTCGTTCAGCCAGCGCGTGACGACCCGTTGGGACCGATCAAAGTCACTGGCCGTTACCAACCGTCCGAGAATATGTGGTGCACCCGCATATATCTGTAAATCGAGCACTTCGACATTCAGTGTGATGTGCGCAGCGTGGTACATGACGTTGGTTGCTGTTTTGAGGCCGACGAATTTTCGCGGATCGGACGTCTGGTTTAATTTCATGTCCATGCAATCTGCGTCGAAGTCGTTTTTCCACAAGTCGTAGGAGCGGCCGATGCGGGCCTTCCAGGCGCCTACTAGGTTTGGTGTTTCTGATCGTAGGGTGGTTTGGTCTCGGCGTTTGAGGTCGGAAGATATGGACATCAGGCCGTGTAAGAGGAAGATCCTTGACAGAGCATTGAGGTATCGTGGACGGTTGGTGGTGTTGGGGGTTATGTATGCTTTCAGAACGAGTAGGAAGGCACTATGCGGTTTCTCTGCGTGTGAGCACTCGAACCATTCTTCGGCAGTCCTTGCCTCCCACGTAGCCTCGTCACATGGCAAGGAGGTCCTGATTTCAAATGCTGACATGCAAAGAGATTGTGAGAAGAGCACCGCATGCTGAGTGTCCCACATGAAGCAAAGCATGGCGAGCCGCTTCCTCTGTTCTAGGTCCATTGCCTGCCTCCATGCTGAATCAAGATTATCCGGCCGTTCCGCTACGGGAGAGGTCCGAATGAGCTGACAATTGCTTCGCCGAATAAGTTTGATGAGGACACAGTGGAATAGCTGAGACATCTCACGCTGTTTTAGGCCGGCTCGTTGTTTCCCAAAGCAATCGATCAACATCATTGCCTGGAGGACCCAAAGGTCAGGCTGTGGGGAGAATGATTGATGGGAAAAGAGTTGATTGCGTAGCGAGTCATGCATTCCGACGGCCAACTGGTGGGCTTCCATAGTGCTGTATGAGGCGCCCATTGATACCATGGCAGCAAGTAGCAATGTATCGATTCGGTCTGGATCAAATGTTGGTTGATGGATTAGTGGATACGAGACATTAAATTTTGTGAAGAAGAGGTCACAGTACGTTTGAAGAGCGTTGATGGAGAGAAGAGGGGACGAGAGCTCAATTCGGTTTCCTTCTACAGTCATAGGTTGTAATTGGGAGACAAGCCGCAATAACCTCGTTCTTGCAGCCTCGCTTATTTGAGGTAATTTCCTTAGTACAACCTTTGTAGAAGGTGTTTGGCCGATCCAGTCCATGTTGGAAAAGGTAGACAGTGTGAGCTGGTTGGAATCATCAAGAGTCGCCGTGGAGATCTGGACAGGCGACGACGGGGAGGTCTGGCTCCTATCAACAGGAAATTCCACACTAGAAGAAGCGTCTCCGGAAGGTTGAATGGGTGGATCTGATGAGATACTGCTAGGGTTCCTTGCTGATTCTGATGCCGAGGAAATGGGTTGGCTGAAAAATTCGTTATCACGCTGTTGAGTCTGTGACCACATATCAGGCACCGGTTCTGCAAAGCTGACCATGTCCATAGCCAGCGACACGTCACTATGGTTAAAGGCGTCATCCAATGATGTCACATCGAAGAGCCAGTTGTAATTATGTGTAGCGGCAAATGGCATGTTAAAAGAGGTTGCTATATATCAGAAAATAACCATATTAGACTTCAGCAAACACCAAGAATTTATAGTTCATTCTCCCCCTGATTTCCCCTTTTTGCCCCTTTTGGAGGGGGATCTGTCCCTGTCCGGGAGCATGCTATTGGGACATGGACAACGGATAGCGGATAGCGCCATCCACTTTGTACGAAAGACGAACGACAGATACATACCAGTATCCAAATCAAAAAATTCCTCATAGTCCATACCAGGTCCTAAATCCTGGCTCCTCCATGAACCGTCTGCAGCATCGAACTGGCCCGGGATTGGCTCTGCGTACGGCTCGTAAGGACCCCCAGGCACCATTGGGGCTATGAGAGGATCAGGGTGATGAACCGGCTGGCAATTATCCAGCGCGCCACTGTCCAAATTGACACTCGAGCATGAGGGATGCACGGATGTTGGCGGGGAGATGGGAGCTACAGAGCCAGCGCCATGGTCCTGGCCATGATAGTTCAGTTCTCCAATCGAAGGCGGCGAGGTTAGATTTGAACTGCTATCTTGATTGTGGCTGCCCGGGGGGGTAGCAGCCTTGTCATTAAAACTCCGGATAGAAGCGGACGACGACGTGGAGGAGGAATTTACAGCCTCAGTGACTTGAATGGATGAGGCTGCCAACGCCGTGTGCCTCGTTAGCATTGCTGCACGAGCTTGCTTTTTGGTTGGTTTGGTGATAATAGTCCCATCAGGCCCACGCCGCGTCCTTTTGCGAGTTTCAAGCACACCCAGACCTGGGCCACCTGCCTCCTCGTCTCTCTTTGCATGACGAGCCATATGTCTTCCTATATTTTTGCGGGGGTTTTTCGGCAGGAGGATTAATGTTCAGCACCACCAACCAGACTAAACCAAGCAAAATGATTTAAGGTAAGGTAGAAAAGGCAGCCAGAGCGGCAAAAAGCAAGACGAAATACCTACCTAGCAAGTCAGGTCTGTTGAAATGGACACCACACCTTTCGCAGGTGTTGTCCTCGTTCTTGTGGTTCAGCGCATGCCGGCGAAGATGCTCTGCACGTGTGAAGCGCTTGTTACAGCCCGGATGCGAGCAGACATGGGCTTTCTCTGCCGGTGGTTTCTCGGGCAGAATCGAGCATGATTGCGGCACTGCGCCAACTTGAGACATTGCAACTTTTGTGAAGCGAGAAAAACCGGGTTATAAAAGGGGAATGCGAACTACGCTATTGATTCCCATTCAACACGAGAGGTCTCAAGTCTCCCACCTTGCTTGCAAACGAGCATCCGATAACAGATGGGGAAGACCAGGGAGGCGGGCAACATGGGGGAGCGAGGGAGAGGGAGAGGGAGGGAGCACAGACGAAGGAGCAGAGGGGAGGAAGAACAAAAAGCTGGAACAGACAACTTCCAAGAACTGAAAGCTCGTTAGGTTGGGTTACTAGACGAAGTTAATGATGGCTTGATCCCTTGTCGCCAACGTCAGGATTCCTTATGGCCTTCTGCGGTTCAACGTCTCTTATGCGGCCCGGTTGAAGTATGAAGTATGTGCGCCTGTATGGATGTATGGACCTTGTATTGCGGGCAGGATCCTGGAGTCACATGATTGCAAACCAGCGTATCGCCATGTATTGTTTCCAACAGTAGTACGTAACTTTCCGCAGAACTGGGTACAAACAAGCGTCAGGAGGCCCCCACATCAGGTAACCCGGTACCTCTCTGGTATATCCCCGTAACTAACCTCCGCGTATGGAGATTACACAGCCTTCCCCTGGCCGCCGAACTACTCCGCTCAGCCAAACTTCACCCCATCACGTCCAATCCACGAAGGGTTTTTATTAATCCTTCGGTGCTAGAACGAAGCATCGAACTGCTGGCCCAGGATCTTCCACTCATGAAGTCCACGCGGGCTCTTGGGCCTGATCAATGTCGTCTAGTGAGCCACGATTTGATATTCTGTAGTCCTATTTCGATGTTCATTCTTACTTTTCAGCCCTTCTGGAAAAGTTCATCCTCCAGATGGCCCAGACGAGACTGAGCCAGCAGAAGCACAGATCGTATTCCAAAGCATACGAGCTTTGAGCAGAGCCGGACCCCCTCCGAATTGCCCCACAGTCAGAAGCTGTGGAGACTGGCCAGGCATGCAATATGTAATACGCCATATTTATGCATGCTTCTCGGTGAGACTACAAACTGCGATGCAGCCGTCATTAGCTGCAGCGAGTGGGCAGTTGCTATGCTGTCAACAACGAGGATGGGTTTTAAAATATAGAAAACTGACCGTTGCACCAATAGATCTACTCCATCAATTCATCCAACGGACCACGGCAACATGCTTTGGGCTTACCGAGTTCCCAATTTCCTCCCTTGGCCATGGATGCAAAACTGGGTTCGGTTTGTTGAAGTTGTAACTTGTGAATTCCACACCAACCCCCATTCTTGCATCCAAGTTCTGAACAACACCCCCACTCCTGGTCACCACCATTCATCCAAGCACTCGTGGGTAGCGAACACCAAAGCAGAGAGCATGTTGCACCGCCAGCATCACCATTGGCTCGTGGCTTTTGTTCCACGCAGTACGGAGAGGATTTTGGAGACAAAAACCCCGGAGGCGAAGTGCAGCGTCAGGCCACATGCCCCTTTATGTCAACTGGGGCGTCAATTCATCAGCCAATTTTGCAGGTCGTCTCGGGGAATTTGAATGGAAAGCTTATTTTCCCCAACATATGTCCGGAATGTTCTTTTTTTCTTTTCTTTTCTTTTTGCGGGCTGGGCGCCTTGCGATCATGGGTTTTATGGGGTGGATATGAACTATCCAGAGAAGTCGAGAACTCAAAACGAAAGGTCAAGGACGAGAAACAACAGCAGGAAACGAAGGGAGGTTTGGAGAAGGAGAGGCCAAAAAGCGTTCTGCGTCTTTGGACTTCAACACGTAAATACTTCCCTACAAGGCGATATTGTTTCTGGCTGCGCTATACACTATACACATATCTATGGACAGGCAGTCTGGTCTCTGCTCGTGCCCTTTCAGCAACTCCAGAGACCAAAAATCTCAGCTACGCCATATCCCAGCCCACACCAATGGATCTAGTTTCTTGCAGGTAAATGGCACTGGGACTCCTGTTGAAGGTCATGACTGAAAAACCCCGCTCTCAAAAGGACCGTTTGCAGGAGTGGCTTATCTTATCAGTGAACTTAACTATCCCTTTCCATTAATGTGCTACCAAAGCAGCGGAGGGAATACACAGTAGATTCACAACGCCTTAAACTCACCCCGGTAGCCGCAAGGTCCAGCCCTTATTTCTAATGATGACCTCTGCGGCAAAGACACCAAAGGCTCTGGATCATGTTGAGGACGGATGAAGTCTTCCATGGCATGTGTGTACCTGCACCTCATCAGTTAGCTGTGCGTCCGGACCCTGCCCACTAGTCCGCACGCTCGTTAGAAGTATACGGTCTGGAGTTTCTAGATAAACAGCGATTTTCTTGTCAATCTCATCCAGTTAATAATTCTCCCATAGCCAAAACGCGGACACTCTCGACTTATTTCAGGGCGAATATCTTCAGGGGTTTGTTTAGGTTCGAGGTCCAACCCGCAGTGAAAAGGACGGAGAATTCCAGCCCCAACGGAAACAGGCTAGATGAAGAGGATTTACTAGGAACTAGTTTTTTATTTTTATTTTTATTTTTATTTTTTATTTTTTCATTGAAGATAGTTTCTTTAGTTTGGGATATACATAGTTGTAGTTGACGTGTGTTGCCGTCCCCATAAATAACTAACTCACTAGTTAACTTATTCAGCTTCAACTTTGTTAAACCTCCGCAATCCCTTCTCCATACAGAGAGCAGCTTCCACCTCCACTCTTCTCGTTCTCTATTTATAATTAGTCCTTTTTGTCTAATCCCTATTTACTTCTTTAATAAGCCTTTCTCTCATTTAATCCCGTAGCAAGCTACGTAAACCATGAACTAACAATGCATTCACAACGGGTATCCCGATTCACTTCATCGCTACATGTTGTTTAACAACAACAGGTAAAACGACAATGGCCTCCTCCCGCCACCACCACACTCGCCCTCCGCACCAATCCCGCATCCCTTCCACATCTGCATCCAGCACAACCGCCGCTTCCGCCGCCGCCGCCGCAGCAACAACATCACGCCGCTCCGCCTCGACCTCTTCCGCCCCTCCAGCTTCAACCGTAGATCCCGCCGCTCCTATACGCTCAAACACTCACGCCGCCGGCAGCAACAGCACCACCAACACCGTGCCTACAGCCATGCCCTCCATCCGCCGCAACCTCTTCCACCACCATCACCACCTAAGCCGTCGCCCCGCCTCCTCTACCTCCACCGCGACCCATAGCTCCGCATCGACGGTGCATCCCTCTAGCATCAATGCCAACGCCAGTACCACTACCGCCACCACTGCCAGTGCCAGTGCCAGTGTAAACACCAACACCTCGCGCCCCGCTGCAGCCAGCGCCGGAGCTGCTGCGAACACCCTCAACCCTGTCCCTGTGACCTCTCTCAGTGTCCCGCACGCCCACGGGCAAGCACATACATACGGACTTGGGAATGCCCACGCACAACAGCAAATAGCCCGCTCATCCTCATCCTCATCTTTGGATAATGGAGAGATCGTCGCACGTGATAAAAATGGGGGTTACAAGGTTGACGTGCCGGTGTTGCCGGTGGGAATGTGGGATGATGATTGCGAAGAGGGCGGCGGGGGCGGGATGGATGTTGAGATTGGGGAGGGCCAGGGGGGTGGTGGTGGTGGCATTGGTGCGGGAGGAGTGGGCGGTGTGGGAGGGACGGGGGGGATTGGGGGCAGGGAGAAGGAAAGTATGTTTTTCTCAGGGCGTGGTTGCTCTTCTCTTTGATTATTTTGTTTGATTTCTGACCTGTTGTGAGCACTCTGGCTGATGGCTTGTTACTGTGGTATTTAACAGAAATCGAAGCGGGGATTGTGGAGATGATGTGTCGAAATCGCAGTAGGCAGCTGCACAGTGATTCTCCTGGTAAGGTTTATAAATATGTATATTCTTTCGCCTCTGCTTTCACATATACATTGGCCACAAACAGAGCATGATATATCTCGCGGAAGATCCACATACTAACAGACCATATCACAGAAATATTCCTCCTGGTCCAACAGAGCCTACGAAACAAAGTCTCCTCGCTGGACGAGGACGCTTGGATGTACGAAGTCGAGGATGAAATTCATGTCTAGATCATTGCCGTGCGTTACTTGTAATCTGTCCGCGAGCCATGGGCTTCTGCCTGTGGTAGCTTAATACCATAAAATCCCCTTCCGACGAGCAAAAGATTACAGACCCCCTTTAATCCAAATCCATCGCCAGCGGCTGCGTCTCAGCTTTCCCTGCGGTCCTCTGCTGTCGAGCTGGTTTTGCTCCAGCACCACCACCTCCAAACATCATCCCCATCATATCCATGAGCGGGTTAGACTGTTTCGGAATCTTAATTCCGAAATACAACTCACCGATATGCGCCAACGCACTCTCCAATCCGTCCACCTCCTTTATATGAATCGCATACTGTCTGGTCAATTGCCTGAATAAATCTGTCGTGCCGCGCTGGATAGCCAGCAGCAAGAGGCTTGTGAAATTTAAAATGGGCAGGGAAGGGAAGACGCGCACATCTGCGCTCTGGCTGCTGACTTGCTGGACATTTAGGACTTTACTGGATTCTGAGGACAACAGGCGACTGGTGAAGACTGAGAAGGCTTTATTGGCGTCACGTAGGTTGCCAGTGAGGAGGTAGGGAAAAACTGCGCGGGAAGCGTAGGTGCCTGCCGTGTGGGGTTCGTCGTTCGTGTACCAGTCGTATTCGAGGTCGGCGAGGATTTCAGCAGAGGCGGAGGTGCCAATGGCCAGGTGTCGTTCTGCGTCGTAGGGTTCGTTCTCTGGAGGGGGTAGCAAATTGTCGGCAAAGGTAAATAGGTTATCACAAAAACCAATCCATAGCTGTGTTTTACCAGGTAACTTATAAGTCAAGAAGAATGGGGGGACTGGTTAAAATAAATTCACTCACCCTGCGCAAATAACACCCCAATCTCATGATGTATCTCAGGATCTCCTCTCTCCAGCTTCCCAAACCGCGCACTCCACGCAATCAGCTCATTCATATATCTCTTCCTTGTAGGCTCTTCAGGGGGAAACTCGCGAAGCAGCTCAATCAACCGCTCTATCGTTGAAATCCAATCCGTCAGTAAAAATAAAGAGACACCCCCATATGGACGAAGACCCTATCCCATCCCCAAAACCAAAAAAGCAAATGGAAAAACACATACTTTTCCTCGCCCTCCCCACCTCATCCCCGCCAACGTCCCACTCCACCTTATTATACACATCAATAATCAACATGGTTGCCAAGTCCCCACCGGACGCAGACGCAGCAGGAACTCTCAGAAGAGCCTTTGCGCCGCCTGCTAGGATATCGGCGGCGGCATCGTAGTTCTGCTGTTTGAGGTAACGGGCGGCGATGACACGGAGTTGCTGGTGAGATTCATAGTAGGCGCCTGCGGCGATTCTGGGGTGGTATGGGGTTAGATCTGGTCTTTTTCCTCCTTACATTTTAAGGGCCAGGTAGCTATATACTTCTCTTGTTGGCGGGCTATAGTTTTCTCGATTCGGGAGGTCATGGTCGCTTGCTTGAGGAAGGATGGCGGTGCTTGGTGTCGGTGGTGGGATGGTGGGGTTTGACGGGAGGTGATATGTATTTATGTAGGCACCTCTAAATGAGTAGAATGAAAGCAGTACTATAGCAGAGCATCCATCATTGGAGGAAAGGAAGTTGGTTCGGCGGGTATTAGTCGGATTATCGAATACTGAAGATCTAGTCAAATATCTGTACGAAGAGAGTGGAGGTTGAAGATGGAAAAAAGGAAGATCTTCAAGCTCGTCCAGCATCAACAATCAATCCTCGCCATGTACTCGTATTTATCTCACCACAAACACGGTTTTATTTGCCTTGCTCACACTCCAAACTTGATATGCGCCTGATATAGAGAATTTAACCAATTCCAAATTCCACCCACATTCAAACCCCCATAGCCCGGCATTTGCAACGGACCACCATGAACTCCCAAATCTTCGATATCCAGCCCGTCGCCCGCTTTGCCGGCTCCAATACAGCCATTCGCAGGCCAAAGGCATGTTATCTGAGCTTACCTTCAATACAGAAAATAAAATACAATCGCCTGATCTAATGCGCATACACCAGGAAATCGCCTACTTCTCCTACGATGATCAACACAACTTCCACCTCGACGAGTCCTCTTTGCGCTATTACTATCCTCCGCGCTTACCGGTTGATCTAAAGAAGGGCTTCGACACGTTCGAAAAGCTGGATGACACCGGCGATGAGCACCTGGATGCGCTTCTGGAAACGATAATTGATTTGGAGAAGAGGACGGGCGCGAAATGCGAAGCGGATCTCATTACGTGGAGGGGGATGATGACGAAGGTGTGCTTTTATATCCTTTCCTTTTTTATTCTTTCTCTTTGAATTTTCATTTCATACCTTTTGCGCGCATATTTCTAGAGGCCATTCTGTGGTTTAGGCTATTGTTCTCAATTCCACATCCCTGGACGCTGAGTACATGGACTGATTGGTTCAGCAAAGTTAATGACAGCACCGTTTGATAATATGAATGGGTAATTGATTTTCCATGAACTGCGTGTCTCTAAAATTGGGAAAATCGAGGGTTAAGGGGTCTAAATTCTGAGACTGATGTTGGCGGTCTTCAATAGGTTTGAGATGAATGCGACCTGTTATCAGGTGAGTTTCATCTTTCTCCCCCTTTTCGTTTGTTATGTCAAAATACCATTGGAGATCGAATGAAACAATATCAATTTTCTGATCGTAATGTCGAAAGGGCTCAATGTGAGTACTCAATTTGTTATTCTGAGTACTACTTCTCGTAAGCCCTTTCCTCATTCAAGATTGCCCAAATCGCTCCAGTTTCATCGAGGAAAACAACGCATACAAGCTTGCCCAGAAGCAATCACAGCAGAACCAGAAGATGCCTCCTGGCGCTCCGTCACAGGACATGATGTCGTTTTGGGGTGCGCAACATCTGACACTTCCTTTTGACATTGCATTCGAGTCTGGATGGCATCTTGATCTGACCAGCTCTGCGGCATCCTTCCAGGTTATAAATTTGAAACTCTTTCTCTTCTAGATCAGCCTTGGGATGCTACTCCTCGTGAAAAAATCGAGGGTCGTGAAGACCAGGTTGTCAACAATAAAGCACAATATTGCTCCATCGTCCGGACGGGGATCGGCGGCTGCAAGCTTGTTATTGGTGGTGAAGTTGATGCCGGTAAGAGACCCTTTCCAAATCCCCATTCAATAAATAAATATATACAAACGAAATCGAAAGAAATAAACGAAAATGAACTTCTCATGAAAAACTCACCGTTGAAAACACACAATAAAAATTTGCTAGTATGGGACAGTAAACCCGACAGAAAAGAAGATCCCATTAACTGGGTCGAGCTAAAAACTTCTGCTGAAATCCGCAACGATCGAGATATGTTTAAGTACGAACGCAAGTTGCTAAAGTTTTGGGCCCAATCCTTTCTTCTCGGTGTGCCTAAAATCATCGTCGGTTTCCGCGACGAACACGGCATACTGCACCGGCTGGAAGAGATGGTAACCCGTGATATACCTGGTCTAGTTGCCAGACAGGGCAAGGGCACTTGGGATGGGAATATTTGCATCAATTTCACAGCGAAGTTTTTAGAATGTGAGTTTCTTGGACCAGTGCTAAAACTATCGTGTTTTCGTTTTCAATGACGTACTATTTTCTGGGTATAGACTGACTAATTTGAGGAAAAGGGCTCAAACTCGTAATTAAAGATGAGGAGGGACTATGGAGGATCCGCAGGCAGGAGAAATCTCCTGTTATTGAGGTCTTCAAGTTGGAGGATTCTGGACATGGGGGAATCCTTTCCCAAGCCTTTGTTGACTGGCGGTCCTCGAAATGAACGCTCAATCGAGCCATATTTCAGCGTCGCGCCACGTAGTTTTCTCGCCGTTTATCTGTATCCCCCAGGAGTTGAGAGGGATTCCGAATAATGGTGCAAACTCAGATTAAAACCTACGGGCTCTTCTTCGATCTTTGCCCACCGAATATGTCCAAATGGAAAAACGAGTGAATTAACTATGTCGGTGAGGGTGAGGAACTTCGGGTGGCCCCTCTGGTCGTCTATATACTCCCGGCGACCTTTCTCCTTATACAAGGGGAGCCTAGCGGATTGAAACATGGTTAGAAAGCTCCCTCCGTTCAAGTGCAAATCATGGTTACCAACACGTCGGCATTCATGCGGGTAGGTTGCCGAATCTGCTGAGGGTTATACGTCAAACTTCCCGTTTCCTCTACTCTTTATATTACAGTGTCGTCAACATAGGGGATATGTACTGTTCAGAGCCTTCTATATTGATGCCATTGATGGTCCCAGAGAGCTTCTCAAAACCTGGTAATTCTATATACACAAAAATAACCTGTAAATATACCAATGTGTCTGTATCTCACTTTACATAGTCAAAATATCATTTTTCAAGAACAGGTCCTTGGATGCGAATATTCTCCTATTACATAGCTATCCATATGCAATCCGCAATGGTATCTCGTTTATTGAGGCCCTAAGCCTAAACCAAACCACTAGCTACTACACTGATAAATATATCACAACGAAAGAGAAGAAGGAGAAAAAGAAAAGAAAAAGGAGAGAGAATACCCGCCCATGCATATGCATCAGGACAGAATCAAAACTGCCCATTATGTCCAAAAACTAAACAAGAAAAACTAGTTGTTTACCCTTTCACCCTCGTCTTCGCCTTTGCCCTGACCCTGAGCCAGCTCATCAACCAACCGTTCATCCAGGTTGCAATCAGGATTCACAACCCCTTTTTCCATAACCCCCCTCTCCCTCCTCGACTCAAGATACTCATCTCTCGCCCTCCTCTTCTCCGCACTCTTAACAGCCCTCTTATGTCTCCTTCCCCTAACATGCACCTCCCATTGCTCATCCGACTGCACTGCAATCCCACATACGTCACATGTCGAACATTTAAACACAGTCCTCTGTCGTGCTCGTTCTTCCCCATCCACCGCCCCAGCCGCCACGGAGCTCTGTAATTGCGTCTCAAACACTCTTTTCGCAGCTTCCGAAAGCTCGCGGGGATCCGGGCACTCTGCAACACCACGGGATAAAAACGACTCCACGACACGTTCAGCCGGCTCGCGCACGGCGCTCTGCCATGCGCTGGGATTGCTACAAGCGCCTGTCGAGTCGATAACGTATAGCTGCTGTGTAGCATGCGCGTCTGTTAGCGCATTCCATAACCGGCCTCTTATCCATCTTATCTGCTGGCGATAATAATGCCGCGTCGCGGACTTTATGGAGCTGAGACAGGACTGTTTTAAGTTGGAGAGTTGTTCGGGGTTGAGAATGCTAGTACTTGTGATATTGCTAGCAGCATCGCTGACAATATCCACCGAGCCGGCTCCGTTGGTGGCGGCGGCTGATGTGGAGGCGGAAGACAAAAGTGCCTGGAAATATGGCTCCAACTCCTTAAAGCCTATAGATACCCAGACGCCACGCGTGCGGTCAATTTCAACCCCTTGTGCATGCTTCTCGTTAAGGTAATTGAAAAGAGACTCCGCCTCTGCAACAAGGCCCTGTTCAGCCATGTTGTCAACTCGCTGGGAGAGGCGACGAGTTAGCTCGCCGTCTTCGGTGTGGACCCAAAATAGGAGTGTTGGAAAACGCAAATGGGAAGGTCCCACGCTGGCTGGCGATGGTCTAGTGGTGGCATGATTCTCTACATATGATAAGTCGTGAAGGGAATGGTTGTCAAGGATGCTAGCAGCGTCTTTGAGCCTTTGCTGTTCCTGGTATATCTCTGACGCAGGTCTGCCAGTCTGCAGATATATCTCCAGGGAGCGGTATATCCTGCGAGTGTCATTAGGATGCCAACGACTCGCCATTGCCGGATCCACTTCTCGTAGTTTCTGTAGTATCACTTCCGGAGACGCATTCAGGATAGGAAATTTTTCAGACTGTGGAGTAGCAATCTTTGATATTTCACTGTTACCATCCGTCACCATCCTCTCCCTGTCAGCATTACCACTTTCTTCATCATTCTCCCCATCTCGATCCAGGATAGCTTCCTTAAATAGCACGGCCTGCGTGTAATAATGTGTCCCACCAACAAGAACGGGTAGTTTCCCCCTGCCCCTGATCTCCTTAATGGTACGTAGACACTCCCTTTTGAAATGGCTTACGTGCCACGGCTCCTGGTCAAAGCCTATACACCCAAGAAGATGATGCGGGATGCCTTTACGTTCCTCAGTGGGAATCTGGTTGGTGATGATAGGCAGGCCTTTGTACAGCTGCATGGCATCACCATTGATGATCTCGCCATTGAAGCGGGTGGCGAGGTCGACAGCAAGCTGTAAGATACAATTAGTATATCGATTTTTCAAAATGGAATCACAGTGTTAGACACAAAAATACGATTGCTGAGTGTATGGAATGAATACTATCCTGATCCATACCTGA